TTTGAGAGCTGTACAGTGTTTAGAGTTCTTTACGATTTAGCCTTGGTTTTTGTTGTTGTTGTTGTTTTTAAATAGTTACCCCTCAGTTCTCCTTAAGTGAGGATTTTGATAAAATTTTAAAAGGGATTTAATTATAGATCTTGCTTATAGATGTTATGCGGTTGTTAGGACGATTTCCTTTAATTCTGTCCCAAAGGCTAAATTTCTAAACTTACTAAAAAGCGTTGAAGGTCCCCGAAGCCACCCGTAGGTTTGGTGATTCAATATAAAGATTTGGAGAGCTCAGCATGTAGTCATACTGAAGGTTATGATTTATTACAGCAAAACGCTGCAAAGCAAAATCAGCAGAGGGAAAGCCTCCTGGGGTGAAGCCTGGAAAAAACAAGGCATCAGCTTCCAAAGTCCTCTCCCACCGGAGTCACGCAGGACGGGCGCAGTCCCTCCAGCACTGAGCTGCGAACTGGAACAACGCACCTAAGTGTTGTCTGCCCGGGAGACTTGTTAGGGACCCAGTGGTCCCCGTTTTACTGGGGGTTGGTCACTTAGGTGTCCTCTGCCTAGTGCTTCTCAAGAGGAAAGTAGCTGCTCAGCATACACCACGTTGTTTATGCCGTTTAGGCGCAGGGAGCCACTCCTTTCAAGTTTGGAAATGGTGGGAAGTCTCCTGGAATCCCGGTTCCCACACACCAGCCAAGGTCAGCCTTTCAGACAGGCCTTTGTAAGCATCACAGTCTCAGGCCTGTCATGCTAAGTCTTTTATATTCAACTGATTTTTTTCTTTACCTTCTGCGATGCAAAGCAAAACATTTAAAAATGCTCGCATCTTCTCAGTAACAAAGTTATTCAGATTTTATATGACACTGGCCAGCTACACGGGGAGAGGTGTAGACAAAAAAAAAAAAAAAGGATGTTGAATGTTTTGGTGATTACTTTAATTTTTTTCCCCCCCATGAGTACTCTTTTTTTAAAGCTTTACCTGAATACATGCCTAGAGAGAGGGAGAGAGAGTAAGAATGAGAGAGAGAGAGAGAAACATCGATCAGTTGCCTTCCTTATGCTCCCCGACTGAGGATCAACCCAAAACTCAGGTATGTGTTCTGTTTGGAAATTGAACCATTGAACCAACACTCAACCAACTGAGCCACTCTGGCCAAGCAGTACTTTTTAATTTCTATATTAATCCGGTACTATTTGTCAAAAAACAAAACGAAACAATTCAGGCTTATTGCTAAATATTATTTTTAAAGTTATAATCTAAAAACCATACTGTGTGTTCTTAGGTGATCCTTTCTATTAACAAATATATCAGTTTCTAAAAAAATACATAGAATGGGAGCAAATTTTTGCAAATCATGTATCCAATAAGGGATTTATTTGTATTAGAATTTATAAGGTACTATACAACTCAGTAATAAAAGACAAATATCCCAATTTTAAAGATGAACAAAGTATCTGAATAGACATTTCTCCAAAGAAGATATACATATTCAATATCATTAGCCATCAGGAAAATGTAATCAAACTCTTGTTCAAAGGCAAATCAATTTACTTTGCTATAACCAGCGTTTCACACCCACTCGGAGGGCTGTAATCACAGACACAGCCAATAGCAAGTCTTGGTGAGGAAGTGCAGAAGTTGGAACCCTCACGCCCTGCTGGTGGGAATATGGCGCAGCTGCTTGGAAAATAGTCTGACAGTTCCTCAAAGAGTTAAACAGAGTTGCCATATGATCTAGCAATTCCACTTCCAGGTATATACCCAAGAGAAATGAAAACATCTGTTCATCGAAAATACTTGTACAAGCATGTTTACAGTGGTATTATTTATCATAGCCCAAAAGTAGAAACACCCAAATGCCTATCAGCTGATGAATGGATAAACAAAATGTGATAAATTCATATAATGGGATACTACTCAGCAATGAAAAGCATTGAAGGACTGGCGCACGCTACAACGTGGATAACGTTTGAAACCATTACGCTAGAAAGAAGCCAGTCATAAAGGACCATATATTATGTGGTTCCATTTAAATGAAATATCCAGTATAGGCAAATCTATAGAGACAGAAAGTGGAATAGTGGTTGACAGGAACTGGGAGTGACTGCTAAGCGGCGCAGGGACTCTTTTTGGGGTAGTGAAAATGTTCTAAAATTGATTGGGGTGATGGATGCACCACTCTGTGAAAATACTAAAAGTGATTGTATTGTACACTTTAGATGGGTGAAGTGAATAGTGTGTGGAATATATATATATATATATATATATGTGTGTATTAGAGAAATATGCTAATTAACCTGGATGTCGTAATGGGTCGACCGGACAGGAGGAGGTTGCGTGCCTAGCATTGGGGTCGAGGCGGCAGGGGCCTCCGCACACCTGTACTGGGGGAGGGCCTGATCAGCAGCGGCCTTGGCTCCAAGGGCCGGAGAGGGAGGCAGGGCTGGACTGATGACTGGAGGGTGGGTGGCGCCGCGTGATTTCGAATGGCGCGCTGGGCTCCTAGTGTCTTTTTTTTTTTTTTTTAAATATATTTTATTGATTTTTTACAGAGAGGAAGGGAGAGGGATAGAGAGTTAGAAACATCGATGAGAGAGGAACATCGATCAGCTGCCTCCTGCACATCCCCAACCGGGGATGTGCCCGCAACCCAGGTACATGCCCTTGACCGGAATCGAACCTGGGACCTTTCAGTCCGCAGGCCAACGCTCTATCCACTGAGCCAAACCGGTTTCGGCGGCTCCTAGTGTCTTAATAAAGCTATTAGGAAAATATACCGGTGCTTAAGAGAAGAATGATGTGAGTTCTTATTGGTCCATTATGATGAAAAGCTGGCCTGTAATACTCAGATGTTTATTAGAATTCATAACTTAGATCCTCAGACATGAGTCAGTTACTAACTGCGTTGGAATAGCACTTGTTCATTCTGAAGAATGTGATTAGGAAATGGGATTAGGAATATCCTAAGAGAAATGACACTGGGCTGGGAATATGTCAAGCATTTTCCACTTTGCTGTATGACATACGCTGTGTTTCTGTCGGGTATCTTGGTTTAGAAACGAACCTCCATTTCCCTCATCTAGTACGTGGCTGCTGAGTGGGAACTGAAGGTGGGATTTTTCAATGAGGAGTTCTTGGCTGGAAGCTTTCCTCCGAAGGCAGTGATGGCGAACCTATGACACGCGTGTCAGAGGTGACACGTGAACTCATTTTTTTGGTTGATTTTTCTTTGTTAAATGGCATTTAAATATATAAAATAAATATCAAAAATATAAATCTTTGTTTTACTATGGTCGCAAATATAAAAAAATTTCTATATGTGACACGGCACCAGAGTTAAGTTCGGGTTTTTCAAGATGCTGACACGCTGAGCTCAAAAGGTTCGCCATCACTGTCCTAGGGGGTCTCAGTGTCAAAATGCTAAGGAGATGGGCTCACCCATTAGCCTTTGACTATTAAGTCATATGGATTGGAGTCGGCTAGTGTTTGGATAAAGGAAGTATGTTTTCTTCCCACTTGCTTTTGTTTCATTCGGGGTTCATCAATGCACTTTGCTGTAACCAGGCGAATCTTCATTTAATGATCTCACCGACAGGTGTTCTTGCACTGCATATTTTTCCTATCCATTTCAGCTTACAGGTAAGGAAGGCACGGCTGAGAAATGCAGTCTGTGTTCCATTTCGGCTGGTGCTTTGTGTTAGTCCCACGTGAGTGTCTGGAGTGGAAAAAGAAGGATGAGGATCTGGGACAGCGCTCTTATTCCTCCTGAGGCAGGTTCTCACAGTGCCCTCAGTCTGGTTTTGAAGGATTGCACATTCTTAGCCAGATCATCCCTCAAAGTCTTGTTCAAAGGCAAATACCAAAGCATATCCTAAAACCACATATAAATGAATCTTCGATGGGCTGTCATTTTCGATGGCTCATGTCACGGTTCCCCGTATCATCACCAATCATTCCTGCATACCTGTCGAAGAGACGCGGAGCTCTGGCTCAGTGGGTGTTTCAGAAATAAAGAATACAGTTAGACAAATTCCCCAGGAAGGACATTATTATGTATCCTGAAATCTCAACGAGGACGTGCCTCACCACGAAGAGCAGGGATCCCGATGAAGGTGAAGCCCTGCATCCTGGTAACCGCCCCTCCCGCGTCGCTGTGCCGGCTCTTACAGAAGCGGCACTGTGGTTGGTCCTCAGAGGACCAGGGGATCTGGTTTCTTTTGTGACCTGACTCTCTGAGAGCCTTCGTTTTAGTCCTGCGTGTGACATAGAATCAACAAGCAGATATGTTATTTCTTTGGTGTTTCTACGATTGATGTTCTTGTAAATCCTTTAGGGCCGTGGTCGGCAAACTGTGGCTCTCGAGCCACATGCGGCTCTTTGGTCCCCTGAGTGTGGCTCTTCCTAAGCCTTAGGAGTACCCTAATTAAGTTAATAACAATGTACCTACCTATATAGTTTAAGTTTAAAAAATTTGGCTCTCAAAAGAAATTTCAATCGTTGTACTGTTGATATTTGGCTCTGTTGACTAATGAGTTTGCTGACCACTGCTTTAGGGGATTTTAATATTGTTCAGTATGTATTTAAATCTGTATTTAAACAATAAGAAGTTGTGGCTCTTGGCAGGAATTAATTGTGTATTGGAGAATGACCAGTAAAATGAACACTTCGTAGAGTGGGCGAGAGTAAATCCTTCAAGCAAAATGTATCTGTCTCCTCTGCTCCCTGGGTAGCTGCTGCCAGGGAGCCACACTGCCATTCGTTTGGATGTTATGGATTAGTTTGCGGAGAAGTCGATGGTGGCGCCAGCATGGTACAGGGAGGGCATTGGGTTTCTCTCCTGCCATCCTGCAGCGCCCCTGAACGCAGGCTTATAGTACCAGGAAGTACCAAACCACGCCGAGCCCCTCCAGCCAGTGGGCACGTGTGGCAACAGGAAGAAAAGCTGATGGAGGTCTCATCTGTATTTATTTTCTCTCTCTCCCATCTCCTGCCTCCTTCCCAGGCAAAAGTAGAAGAAAAGATCCAAGAGGTCTTCAGTACTTACAAGTTCAACCACCTTGTTCCAAGGTAAGCTTGGTCAGGAGTTTGAGGGGCCTGGGGAGACACTGCCTCCTGGGGGAGCCTTTCTTCTTTCCTCCTTCAGCTCATCTACCCTCGGGGATGTGTCTGCTGCGAGACATGTTTCTTGACCTTGCGGCCACTGGCATTTGCTTATCACCCCAACTCCTCAATGGGCTCTTGGCTCTTCTCATCCATTGTAGCCGTCCTGGCCATAACCAGCCTGCTCAGCCTGGGCCAGCATGTATCGTGAGCTATTTCAGCAATTCTGGTCTCACTCAGTTCCTTCACACCTCTACTGTACTGTCTTGCTCTTTCCATCTAACCAGCCCTAACCATAGCATGCCCATCGCTGCTTCTACTAAAGGGTCCCAGCAAGATTTCCAAGAAAACAAAGTCATGTGACAGTGCCTCCACCGAGAATTATACTACCTTAGCTTCAGCTGGGCCTTCCTACTGCTTTCCAATCCTTTCATTCATCCCCTGTAGATTCCCTAACACACTCACCACAGTGGCCAATCCACTCTCCATGGTCTTGTGTCCTAATTCCTGAGGAAACTGAGGCCATCCCCCATGAGTGTCCTCGGGTTCCCTCTCCCCCCTCCAGAGTCCTGTATGGTCTTGGTTCTTTCCCATCATTTCTGTCCCCAAGAATGTAGAGTCCTTCCTTACTGCCAAGCTCACCTCTCCTGCTGACCTCTCTATCCCAACCCTCCCGCCTCCACTTCGGGGACCTTCCTTGATGGATTTTGTCTGGACTCTGGCATTTTCAGCGTCTCCCTGTGCCCACCTCTCCTCCATGTGAACTGCTTTTCTTCACCCTAGTGCTCCAGCAGGCCACTGCTCTTGTCTTCCTTCCCTCACAGTCACCATGAACACCTTTAGATTATGGGTTTGGTTTCCTGCCACTAGCTTGTAATCACCCAATCCATTCGGCCTGCTGAGGCTAGCGCGATCTAGACCAGCGGTCGCCGACCGGTGTTCCTCGGACCACTGGTGGCCTGTGAGGTCCGAAAGGTTGGCGACCGCTGATCTAGACAGTGCACATCTGACCATGTCTTCCCTGTGCCTGAAATACTTCAACGATTCCCTTAAATTTCTTTTTTCTTTTTTTTGGTAATAGTATTAATGAGATATAATTCATATAGCATACAGTTCTACCCATTTAAAGTGTACATTTCATTCATTTAAAGTGTACAGTTCAGTGGTTTTTTTAGTAGATTCACAGTTGTGCAGCCATCACCACAATTAATTTTAGAATATTTTTATCACCCCAGCAAGAAGCCCTCAGCCATCACTCTCCATTTCCTCCATTCTCCCCCCTTCTCCCCCAGCCCCTGGCAACCACTTAATTTACTTTCTGCCTCTATGGATTTGATTGTTCTAGACATTCCATTTAAACAGAATCATACAATCTATGGTCTCCTGCGACAGCTTCTTTCACTTAGCACAGTGTTTTCAAAGGTCATCCATGTTGTAGCACAGTGACTCCTATGTGCCCTTTGGTTTAAAATCAAGCTCCCAGTGCATTTATAAGTATTGCCTGGTCTGCCACTGCTCCCTACCTTGTGCTTTGGCTCCAGCTAAACTCAACTCACTGGAATGTCCCCGGTGTTCCCTTCCTGAAACACCCTTTTGCCTGGCTGACGCATGCCCTTTGGGACCTAACGCTGTGTCCTTGGGGAAGTGTGTTCTGACCCTCAGTGCCGTCCCGCGTGCTGCAGAGCCCACCACCCGTCCTGATCAGAGTGTTGGTTGGACTGGGCTGCAATCACCCTGGACTTGTCCATGTTCACCTTCTGACCGGAGCTCAAGGGAGCTGAGTCAGCATCCTCCCCAGTGCCTCCCTCTCGGCCCCCACAGAGTGGGTGCCTCCTGGGTCCTGACCCCTGCACCTCCTTGAAAGAGAAATCGAGTCTGGCCTTCTCCTCTTCCTTGGGATCTGGAATCTACTCTCACCACCCCCAGAACTCTCTTGAAGGTCACCAGCCACTCTGGGGTTGTGCTCTTTTTCCTCAATCTTGCTGCAGCATTTGCCACTGCTCAGTACCTCCTTGAAATTCCCTCCTCCCGAATCGCCTGTGACCCGGCATCTCCCCAGCTTATGTAACATTTTATTTTTCTCCTCTGGCTTCTTGTCCTCCAAGGACGGGCCTTCCCCCAGTTCTGCACGGAAACTTTCTGCTCTGCCCTCCCCTCCTGCAGCTTGACCTGTCTCCTGTGTGCAGATAAATGGTTCCCATGCTGCCCCCTGGATCCCTCTCTTGAGTGTCACATGTGTTTCCAACTGTGTGATTGACATCCCCACCTGCACTTTCAGTGCCGTAAAGCCCACCTGTCCGGAAGCCAGCTTATCCTGGGTCACTGTGCTCGTCCCAGCCCTCAGTACTCTAAGGACGCCTCACCTGGGTGACGCTTAACACTTGTTCAGTAAACAGCGGCTGACCTGAGTACCTGGAAAAGAGAACGTTCATCTGTTTTCCCACTCTTCTAACCCGCCTTCCCACCCCATCTCTCTCCACTTAGTGCTTTCATTGAGGCCATTTGTAAACACATATTGAATACCGACTGCTGTCAGGTAGTTTTTCTAAAGCACCACTCAGGTCATATTTTCTCTCTCTCCATTCACAACCTGCAGGGCTTCCCTTTGCCTACTAAACTGGGTAGAAATTCCTCAGCTGGAACCCCAGACCGCTGGAAACAGGGGTCGGCTGCCTTTCGGCCATTTCTCTTTCATTCCCAATATTCAGGCCAAATCCCCCACTTACTCCTCTTGCACACTATACCTGGGCTGCACAATGCACAGCCACTTAAACTTAATTAAAATTAAACAAAGTTTACAATTCAGTTGCTCAGTCACGCTAGTATATTTCAAGTGCCCGTTAACCACATGTGGCTGGTGGCTGGTGGCTGGTGGTTGCCTCGCAGACAGCACAGATGGCATTCCTGTCATCACGGAACGTTCTTCGGGCAGTCTGTACCTCTTTTGTTTCTGTTCTTCTGGCTAAACCATCCTCCCACCACCTCCTCCCCTCTGGCCGTCTCTACCTGTAAAAATCTCTCCCTCCACCTGGGCTGTCCACCTCAGCTTCCTCCTCCTCCACACACCCTTCCCTGACCATCCCTTTCAGAACAAGCTGCCCTCCCTTTAGATCCTGGGATGGGTTTGGTCTGTTTCCTTTATGAAACCTACCCATTTTTTCCTCATATTGTAGCCACTCATGTCCTTATTTCATTTCTAGCACTGAAGGAGGGCTTTTTAAAAAATCTTCACCCGAGGGCATTTTTTCCATTGATTTATTTTTAGAGAGAGGGGAAGGGAGAGTGGGAGAGAGAAAGAGAGACAGACATTGATGTGAGACACATTGACTGGTTGCTTTCCCGCACTTGCCCCACCTGGGCCGGGGATTGAGTCTGCAACCGAAGTACATGCCCTTTGGTCTGTGGGCCAATGCTCTCACCACTGAGCAACCAGCCAGGGCCTGAATGAAGACTTTTTGAGGTAAAGACGATGTTAATGACCTTATTTTGTGCATAGTGGAGTGGGAGTTCAACAAACAATTGTTGAACTGAATACCTAGAGAAGAGAATGGTTCTTCTTTTACTTCCGAAATCAGCAAGCACAGTGAATGTCTGGCCATGGCAGTTTTTCCCTTTTCTCTGTAGTCACACAGGCCTCCTCTGCGAGACCAGGCATGCAGCGCAGCCCCCGTCCTTTGCCTTCCTGCGCAGGTGGCCATGGGCGGCACATTCCGTCTGAGAGCCAGTACTGCTGACACCAGGGCCGAGGAGAGCGGCTGGCTGCAGAAATGCAAGCGGCCCTCTGGCCGGGGCTGTGGGTCAGCACGTAGGAGGTGGAATTTCGGGGAGGGAATAATAGACAGATAACTGAGGGGCAGGCAGAGGGCAGACTGCAAACCTCAGAGAAGTGACCCCGGAAGAAATGACTGGAATGACGGAGGCTAAGGAGTCAGGGAAGTGGCGAGGCTCAGATTTAAATTGCTTCCAGGACGGGGAGCACAGTTAGACCCTGGAGTAACTTTCTGGGTGGTGTGTCACTGCCTCGCCGTGTGTGCTCATTGCTGCTTTTCACTTAGCCGAAGTCACCTGCCAGGGAGAAGCGGATCGCACCCAAAGCATTTGTCAGCATGGTTTCAGGCACGTTAGGGACAGCCAGATGCTGGGCTCTTTTCTCTGATGTACCTGCCCTCGGAGCTAAAGAAGTGGCTGGTTGTCCATTCATTGACTGGGGTGGGGATGTCCTGAAGCCGAGAGAGTGTGTGTGTGCACATGTGTGTGCACCCGTGTGCATGTGTGTTCTGTAGTGGGGTGGAAGCCTAAGATGCCAGAATAGGTTTACGAGCTCTTTGTCTTTCCAGGCTTGTGCTGCAGAGGGAGAAGCACTTCCATTACCTGAAAAGAGGCCTTCGACAGCTGACAGATGCCTATGAGGTAAATGCATTGATCAGGAGCATTTTCTATCAAATCACCAGCCAGATAGTGCTTCCTTTGTTCTATTTGAACATGAGGGACTTGTGAGTGTGACCTGTTGCGGGGTCACGCGTTGTACACCTGGCTCTGGTGGGAAGCAGGGGCCCAGGAGCCCAGGCCCCGCAGAGCTGGGACTCCCACTCTGAAAGGGCAGAGCTGGCTCTTCCTGGCCCGTCCTCCCTCAGCTCGGGCAGCACCCAGATGGGGCGGTTTCTTCCTCTGAGATCACGGCGGAAGGGGACACGTGCTTTCTTGTAGACACCCCTTGACAGCTCGCTAAAAGGCAGTTGTTACCTGTTCATCCCTAACCCTCTGCCCTATAAGCTGATCTAATTCCTAAGCTGGCCAAAGGGTCAGTATGTAAATCCAGACAGTGCTACTGCCGTTCAGTGCTGTGAACATGCCGCTGTGAAAGTCACCTCCCTCAGCTCCCAGGGTCCCACCGAGGGCTGCGGGGAGGGGCCCTGGCGGTGGAGGAGCGGAAGGGTGTTGGAGTGGCAGGCAGAGGGTGAATGTGAACAGGAGGGCTCCAGGCTTCCTGTCCCATGTTACACAGAGCAGCCCTGCTCTTAATTTGTTTTTTATTTTGGAGTTGTACATTTGATTATTTACTGCAGGGACTGACCAACTCAAATGCCCATAGACCCAAGCAGATAGCATGACCAGGAGAAGTGGGCTGGGGAGACTGAAGCAAACCAGAAGCCCCACACTCTTACACTGTTCCTGCCCATCCCTGCAGACCCAGGTTGCCAGAGCTCTCTCTCTTTTCCCTCCGAATGAAGCCAGAAATTCAGATTTTTGTGTGAATTTCCAAATGTTTAAATGTTGCAATCGATTCCAATTAAACAGACAAACAAGCAAACAAACACTACAGGGAGCAAGCAGAACACACCCACAGGCTGGATTTGGCCTTGGGTTCCCATTTTTTAATCCTTGACTCGAATCCTCCGTGGTTAGGGTCCAGCCAGCCCTGATGCAGTTCACACCGAATCAGCTAACAGCTCATTGACCAGGGTGCTGAAAGCTGACCACGCATTATCTCATTACTCCTTACAACTACTCCGTGAGGGAGGAGAGTCTTTGTTTTTCACAGGTAAGGAATCAGGCATAGCAAGATGAAGTGATTTGTTCAAAGGCAAATCGCTAGTAAGTGGAGGAGCTGGGACTCACACACCCAGGCCGGCCAAATCCATAGCAGCTTCTTCGGGCGCCACACCAGGTGGCAAGCTAGTCCTCACACGTTTAGGAAGAGGGCAGCCTGGGCACATGGGAGCAGCCCTGGCTTGGGGGTCCAGACACCTGCTTCTTGTCTCATCTCTGCCATTCACTGTCTTTGTAATCTCGGAAAAGTATGTCTCTCTGGGCCTCATTGAAATACAGTGGGGCCTTGACTTACGAGTGTCCCAACTAACGAGTTTTTCGAGATACGAGCCGTCTCTCGGCCGATTTTTTGCTTTGAGTTGCGAGCTAAAATTCGGGTTACGAGCCAGCTTCAGACACCCCACCGCTAGTTGACGCAGCGAACGTCACAGTGAATGCCACTACATCAGCCCAGCATCACGTGTCTCACTCGTTCACTTTTTGATTTGACATACGAGTAATTTGAGTTACGAGCTCCGTCACGGAATGAGTTAAACTCGTAAGTCAAGGCCCCACTGTACTTTAAATCTGTACCACAGCGGCAGGAATACTACCTGCCTGCCTGGCCTTGGGAGCTCAGTGCATGCTTATAGCTTGAATTAGGGGCAAGTTCTGTTCACTGGCACCTTGGGAAACCTTGCCCAGCGCCCCCAGGCAGAGTAGAGTCCATCTCTCCCCCGTGCTCCCTCAGGCCTGTCTCTGCCCTTTCCAGCATCTATCCAGGCACATGTACGCACGTGTCGCTCCACCTCGTTCCAGAAAAGCCAGGTCACTTGTTCTGTGTCTAGTGCCCTCTCCCTCTACAGATAACCACACTCATTCTATATTCCAAGCATCTCAAGAATAGGAGCAGAACTGTATTCATGATTGAGCCCCCAGCACCTAATACAGTGTGTGGCACCAAGTAGGTAGTTACTAAATATTGGTTTAATCAGCGAATGAGTTAATCCAGGAAACCCCTCTCTGCGAGTCCACCTCTCCTCGGGTCCTGAGAACATAGCGGCACTTCCTGGTGCTTGAGAGGTGCTCTGCCCAGCCTTCCTCAGGTCGGGTTCAAGGTAATATTCTTTGTCCCACTGTCCTTTCTCACATGTGGGTCTTTCAGCTGCTGGCTAAGGCCCCAAGGCAAAGTGTCCTTCATTCACTGATTGTTCGGAGGGGCCCCTCCTGCCCCTGCCAGGCTGCCAGCAGAGAGACAGACATCCCCTTGTCAGCCGTCTCTTGGGACGACTCTGAATAAGGGGTGTGTTTTCTCCCCGTCCCTGTGCCAGTGTCTGGACGCCAGCCGCCCGTGGCTCTGCTACTGGATCCTGCACAGCTTGGAGCTGCTGGACGAACCCATCCCCCAGATGGTGGCGGCAGAGTGAGTCTGGCGGCGGGGACTCGAGGGTGTTCTCTGGAGCTGTGTTGTGAGTTTGGGGTGCTTTCTGTTTTGTGACTGTTTTATTGATGTTAAATGAAGAACACAGACCGCTTCCAAGAAGCCCATGCTTTTCGTGACCTCCAGTAACTTCCTGAAACTCCTCCACGTTAGAAGCCTATCATAAGCTCGTGGGTAGAAAGGGGCTTTGAACTCCCAAGAGAAGGATTCTGATTTCTTCTGTGGGTTTTTCCTTTGGCTCTTGTTCTGGTCTTTGAGGAAAGGCTTCATCATCAACTCTGGGAGACACGATTCTGCCAGAAAGTACAGTATGCTTCTGTGTGTGTGTGTGGGGGGGGGAGGGGAGGCATGTGTCAACCCAAGGAACAGACACGCCCTGCCTTCCATGAACACCTCCACAGAAGCACCCCCAGTGCCTGGGGACGGTGTCGCTCTCGATGGGACTGGATGTGTTGCCATCTTGGCGTGCAGATGCCATGACTCACAGTTTTCTTAAGACTTGAGAGCTAAGCAACTAAGATTCTTCCCAAACTGCTGGTGTAGATGGTGTCCTCAGGGTGGTACCTCATCCTTAGCAGCTCATCACAATTTTAAAGAAGAGAAACTGATCATCACCCCAGCCTTGGGGATACCTGGGGGAGGGGGGAGGGCAGCCAGGAATCGATCTAACGTCCCAGTTCTCACTGAGAGGGAGCACGTCCCCTCGGCAGCTACTTGAGATCCTCCTCGCCCCTTGGGGCTCCTGAGGGAGAGGAATCTGGGAGGGGAGGCCTCCCACAGCACACAGGGGTGTCTGTACCAGGATGGGTGGAGGCTAGCGGTGCCCCTCCCTGGCCGCAGTGCCCTGCATGAGTCACATTGTCAGGTCAGAAGAACAGAACCGCACATTGTCTCATTCATTCCGTCTTAACAATAACCTCTCATTCTTGCCTTCCTGGGCAGGGTGTCTTGTGATGAATGTGGATAGGGAAGATAATAAAGAATTAGGCCATTAACCCTTGTGATACATACGATGCTTTCTGAGGGAGAGGAGAAATATGCATTGTCTCCCTCGTCACGATGCGGCTACCAGCCTAGCTGCTTTCGAGCTCCAAGTAGGGTTGGATGCAGTTTCCGCAGTAATAGGGGTTTAATGGTCAAAGTAAAGGCCCGTGTGGTTTTGAAATACCAGTTGGGGGTTGCGGCTTGTTTGGGACGTTTCTCCCCCGCACATACACAGTCAGGATTCTGGTAGGGGAATGGAGAAGTCCAGCAGGAGAGAAGGGGAAGGTAAGGGGGCCATTGCTGAGTGAAGTACAGGTGCCCCCAACGGAGAACAGGCCCCTCTGAAGTGGAAGGTCATGATAAGGGGTTCTTGGGTCGGCATCAGTTTTGAGTTTTTGTAGGTTGGTTTAGGTGAGGCTTTCCTGGGGAAGTAAGTGCCAGAATAGCTTTGTGGCGTCTGATAGGAAGAGAGGACCCCTTTAAAGGGCTTTTGACACTGACCCATTGGAGACAACCGAAATAGTCACAGTAGGGTCATGTAATTAAAACTTAAGAAATTATGGTGCAGTTTATACGATGAAATACTCTACAGCCCTTTAAAAATGAAAAGTTAGCAGATGCTAACCAGGTTGTGGTGATCATTTCGCAATGTACACAAATATTAAAGTGTTATGTTGTACATCTGAAATTAACGTTGTATGTCAAGTAGACCACAATAAAATTATATATATGTGTATATTTGTATATAAAAATGTGTATATTTATATAGAGATGTTCATGATTTAAGTGCAAAGGTAGCTTAAAAGATTTCACTTTTATAGAGTAAAAATATAGATGGATCTATGCATGGAAAAACCAAAAGGATGGATACACATGGTAGTTGTCACTTCTGGATAGTGGGGTTAAAGGTGATTTCTTTTTTTCTAAACACATTTTCATTTTCTAAAGTTTCTACATTGAATCTTCATTGTTTTATGATTACTGTTTTAAACCTGAAAGCTGATTTCAAGAACAACTTGATATTGAATGGCTGAGAGTTTCTGCTCCATGGCTGCCTTAAAAGCGTACCTGTGGTTCTGTGGAGCCCTGACTTAACACACCTTTAAAAATTTACTTAGAGCCTTGGCCAGGTGGCTCTGTGGGTTGGAGCATCGTCCATTACACCAAAAGGTTGTGGGATCAATTCCCTGTCAAAGCACATACCTAGGCTGTTGGTTCCATGCCAGGTCGGGGAGCATCTGGGCAACAACTGATGGATGTTTCTCTCTCACATCGATGCCTTTCTTTCTCTCTCTCTAAAAATCAATAAAAATGTATCCTCGGGTGCTGATAATATGAATAGAGCCCCAGTAGCTCTGACCTATAAGGAAAGCAGTTTTTAGTAAGATACAGAGAAATCTTAATGACTTCTCTAAAAATACAGGGATTTGTTTTTTTAGACTACCTGATATAGGATATTGCCTTTTTATTTATTTTTTGCACAGGGGAAAGAAATGCTTTGAAAATGGGGACAGGTTTTTTTTTCTTCTTCTTCTTCTTCATACAAATATTAAGGTGACCTAGAGGCTGAGTTTTGCTCTGGAATTTTATTATTTCCTGCCCTCTTTTCTCCCCACTCCCTCATCTAGTCTCTCTTTCTCTCTCCTCTCTTTCCTATTTGGTTCACTGTTGTGACTCTATTTGTTTAGGGAACAAAATGCCATGCTGAGTTCCCTCTAGTGGACAAAATCACTTTTGTCAGCTGCTGTGACTGCTGATCGAAGCCGACAAGGCCGTTTTTTTTGCTGCGGGTGTCAGACCCCTCAGGAGCAATATATTCATAGGTAGGAATTTAGCTTGTACCCACACATGTAGACGTGTTTACCTAAAGTAAATTAATATTTTGGAACCAGACTAAGGACATTTGCTTTGTTCGTGACGTTAGCACTGAAGGAAGCAGCCTTTACGGAGAACCCCACACTTTGTTATTGAAAGCCGCGTTCACGAAGGGCACGGACCAAATGAAGACCGCAGAGGACCACTGCACTGTTCAGTTAGGCTTTTAGCTTCTGTAAGATCTAAAAATCGTCTTTAACTTAAAACTCGTTTTAGGACTTCTTGCTTATAACATTTTTCCAAAGATTAAATTTACATCTTCACGTATCGGTAAATAACTCCTTAAATATCTTTTCCTTTTAATTCTTAAGTTTAAATCTGATTTGTTTCTTTACCTTTTCGTAAGGACACCTCGTTTGTCTTCTGGGCATTTTGTTTTTGGCCAGCAGCACCAGGCATCTAGTGGGTGGAGGCCAGGGATGCTGCTAACCGTCCTCCCCAGGACAGTCCCCACAACCAGGAATTATCCCGCCCAGTATGTCGTCACGCCAAGGTGGGGAAACCCTGCTGTCAAATAACCACCTTCAGACCTGACCACACACCAAACTGCAGACCCAGAGGACTGCTGGCTCCCGGCTCCCAGTGCGGAGTCAGAGGACCTGCCCCCCTCTGCCGGCTCCCCCGGCCCGGCTCCCGGGTCATCTAGGGAGCTGCTGCCCCCCACCTGTTCATTGCTGCCTCTCCCCAGGGCAGTTCTCCTCTCCCTCGCCGCGTGGAGCTGAAGCTGTTTGACAGCTTGACATTTGAAAGACTTGGCACTAGAAGGAGCTTGATGTCCACTCCTTCCTCTTGCATTTGCATCTGCTCCTGGGCCGTTCTGCTCAAGGGTGACTGTTCCTGTTTCCAAAGCTATAATCTTTGTAACTTATTCTAGACCTGCCATCCGTCTGTGGTCCCTTACTCCGGTGCTGCAGTTTTTCTTACATCTAACCTAAAATCTTGCTGCAAACGAGCTTCCATTTTTGTTTATTGACCAGAAAGTTTGTATAATTACCCTTGATGTTTCTGAGGTATGTGGCGGGGTAGCTTTCTACTGTGGTTGCCTGTAATATTAAGCCTTTTAATCATTTTTATATTTAGCCACTTTTACAACTCTAATCTGAACTCCCTTTGAGTTGGAAAATGGAGGCTTGAGTCAGATATAGTTCTGACCAATAATGTTTTTAACTGGCATTTTTGTTATTGTTCACAACTCATGGACTCTATCATCTGGTCCTTTTTCTGCTACATTCCTAGTCCTTTCCCATCTTATATTTATACACTTTACTCATCCCCCACTCCTGCCGTCCCCTAAATACATATATTACTACTTGCACGTATTTCATTTGTTTTATTCTTATTGGCTTCTGATTTTTGTGTGTGTGTTTTATTTTTTTGTTAATCCTCACCCGAGGATATTTTTTCCATTGATTTTTAGAGAGAGTAGAAGGGAAGGGTAGCGACAGAAAGAAACATGGATATGAGAGAGACACGTCAATTGGGTGCCTCCTGCACTCAGGGATTGAACCTGGGACCCTTCAGTCCTAGGGCCGACGCTCTAACCACTGAGCAAACAGGCTAGGGCTGTGTATTCTTTACTAGCTCTCCAGTGATTCTAATACACACATTTTGAGTTTGAAAATCCCCGATCTAGAAGATAGTTTCCCACTTTGTTGGTAATTGTCACGGAATCTGGAGTGAAATGCCTTGTTGATTTGAAGTCAAATTGATCCACTAGATCTTTTAGTTGTATGACTAAATGAATGATTTGTGAATAATTGTTTTCCACAAAGTGTTAGTTGGTGAATTTCTGGTTCCTAGGATAAGTTTTGATAAAGTATCATTCACATTTTGGTTTTTAGAATTGCTAAGGATTCTGCTGATGACAGCTGGTAGCTTCATGGCCAGGTTGCCAGTTCCTTGAGGGGCAGGCTTCTGGATCAGAATGTTCTGTAATGTGGAAGTGGCTGAGAGTCAAGCAAAGCCCAACCCCTGTGCCCCAGCACAGCCCCAGGGACAGTCAGACGCAGCCCGTCAGCTGATGGAGGTTGGCATGGAGGGATGGCTTAGAGGTGTCTGGTACATTCCGATCCTGGCTCATTCCAGACTTCAGGCTGCAGGGTCAGGAGGGTTGCACTGGCATGATTCTCTCTTGGGAGCTGGGGAAGGGAATGGGTAACTAGGTGACTCTTTTTGTCCTCTTGAATGTGCTAAGTTTTTAGAGCAACTAAAATCTTTTGTGACATAGAATACTTTTATATGCGAGCGCAGCCAGCCTTCGTTGGGACATGTGTTTATTTATTAGCTATTTGCTTCTGGGAAATGCGGCAGAAATTAAGAATGGTTTGGAAAATAGGTTAGGAACAAACTCATTTTCTCTATGAAAAGTAATTGCTATCAACAACATGCCGCAAAGCTGTCTTCCTTCTCTGATTATCAACTTCAGTTTCGATCCTTTTGTTTCTTACAGTAAAATTTTAGGGCAAATGGAATTTATTGTGTATTGTTTTTGACCTGTGACGATTTCAGGACTCCGCTAGCGAGTCAGCCGAATTTTCTATTGCTGTCCCAGCCCAGATAACGGGAGATCTGAAATCAAATATGTTGAGGAAAAGCAACAATAAACTGAGTCTCGGTGGAGAGGAGCTGGACTCCATGCGATCTCTCTGGCAGCCGTAGATAAGAAAGGATGATATGAAAACCCGGAGAAGGCTGCCTGAGCACTGGGAGGACACAGATCTGCAGTTTGTTCCCTTAAACCAGCGGTTCTCAACCTGTGGGTCTCGACCCCTTTGGGGGTTGAACGACCCTTTCACAGGGGTCGCCTAAGACCATCAGAAAACACATATATAATTACATATTGTGGTTTTTTTTCACATCTTTATTGATTTCAGAGAGAATGGGAAAGGGAAAGAGAGATAGAAACATCAATGATGAGAGAGAATCATTGATCGGCTGCCTCCTGCATGTCCCCTACTGGGGATCAAGCCTGCAACCCAGGCATGTGCCCTTGACTGGAATCGAACCTGGGACCCCTCAGTCCGCAGGCTGACGCTCTATCCACTGAGCCAAACCAGTTAGGGCTACATATTGTTTTTGTGATTAATCACTATGCTTTAGTTATGTTCAATTTGTAACAATGAAAATACATCCTGCATATCAGATATTTACATTACGATTCATAACAGTAGCAAAATCACAGTTATGAGGTAGCAACGACAATAATTTTATGGTTGGGGGTCACCACAGCATGAGGAACTGTATTAAAGGGTCGCGGCATTAGGAAGGTTGAGAACCACTGCCTTAAACAGGCCCGTCCTCGGAGGAAGCCTGTGACCCCAGCTGAGTCATGGGGAAAGGACTTGATAACCAGGACTTTCCTGGGGCACCCCCTTCTGGTGAACCTCAGAGGACCTTGGTCAGATAGGGGCTTTCTGGGTTTCACCTGAAACAAGAATGAAACTTCTGGGCAAACCGACGCCAGGTTTGGAGGCAGGAGCTTGACGGCCAGCCCTCACTAGACAGCTTCTCTCAGTGAGGGAACCGGAGCCTGTGGGATTAGTGTGAAAACTCTGCTGAACCCACAGGCCGGGGTGCGTTCTGTGGCCCGAGTCAGCGGAACACACAGGTTTCCACCACTGGGGTGCACGGTTCTCCTAACCATGGCGCAGACTCCACAGAAGCTTGTTCCTTGTCAGTTAAAGGAATAACATTCAGCAGCCCACTGGGGCTTAGGTGGCAGTGGGAATGAGCAGGCATCTCTTTGGATATTCTTGGGGGGCCTCGGTGGGGGATCCTGACCTGGGTGCTCAGTGTGGACAGGAGCAGGAGAGCACCAGCATGAAAAGGTGGGAAGGATGTGGTCAGGAAGCGTGGCAGTCCCCCCAGCTCCGTGAGAGGCTGTTCCTTTCTGCCCAGCCTATGTTCTTCCTTCATGAATAGACCAGTGCTTCAGTGTAAAACGCAGATGGGAGGGCACACAATACTGATGATGGCAGGGTAAGAGTTAGGCCTTTTGCAAGGTTTAACTATGTTTTGTTTTATTTTATCTATTTTATATTTTATCTTATTCTATTCTATTTTATTTTGTAATCCTCACCAGAGGACATGTTTGGGACGGGGGGTGGGGGGGGGGGGGAGAGGAACATCAATGTGAGAGAGAAACATCAACTGGCTGCCTTCTGTACATGCCCTGACCGGGACCAAACCTGCAACCCAGGTATGTGCCCGGACTGGGAATTGAACCCATAGCCTTTTGGTGCACAGGATGATGCTCAACCAACTGAGCCACACTGGCTGGAGGGTTTAACTATTTTAAATATAAATTCAATAAGTGGGAGGAGAGTTTTTTGGTTTATTTTTCCCCTTTTGGAAAGGCATGGATCTGGTAGAATTTGGTGTTTTGAAAAGAATGCTCTCTGACTTTGCTTTCCCCTTTGGCTGTGTACCTAGTGTGTGTCATTTCCTGGAGCTGTGTCAAAGCCCAGATGGTGGCTTTGGAGGGGGCCCTGGCCAGTACCCACACCTTGCACCCACATATGCAGCAGTCAACGCGCTATGCATCATTGGCACCGAGGAGGCCTATGACGTCATTAACAGGTACAGCCAAAGCCAGCAGTGATGGGAGGGCTCCCCGCGGGCAGACACTGCACTGACCATTGCCCTCTCCTGCCTCCCTCCCATTCCTTCCTCAGAGAGAAGCTTCTGCAGTACTTGTATTCTCTGAAGCAACCTGACGGCTCTTTTCTCATGCACGTTGGAGGTGAGGTGGATGTGAGGTGAGTGGGGCTTTCTCAGGCTGCTGCATCCGTAGGTTCCAGAGCTCACCTGCCACGAGAGATGCCAAACCCAAGGACCAACATGGCGAAGCTGCTGCTTTGTCACAGACTGACACGCAGAATGACGTGCGGGTGACACGGTATCACAATCACAGATGATACCGTTGTCCTCAGTCGGCTTCTTTTATGTAAATATCAAAATAGAAGCAAGACAGAAACAAAATCAACTGCTCTTATTTTAAAAGTTAAAAATACATCGATTTGATATGATATACCATTATATATAATAACCATATAGTGTCATACAATCTTTCATCTCTCTGGGATAGAAGGGAGAAAAATGCCCAGAAAGGACTTAGTAAATATTCTTGCCTGGATTTGATGAAATCCTGACAATGTTTAACACCTGAGCAAGAACTGCTCCGGGAGGTGCAGAAACCCTTACGGGCCAGTGGAGTGAGGTGAAATAGACTTGCATTAACTGGTTGGAACCAATTGGTGCAAAAATGATTATTTAACTCAAGAATTGTCTGATGTACGTAGCAAGCAGCTTACTCACCTGGCAGGTGATTGCTCATAAGCATACAGAGAATTCACTGAACACATCATTTCTCAGCGGCAGCGGGTCATTGAGATTGTATACCCAAGTCTTATGACTTAGTCTGAGAAATGCATTTTTATGAGGTTTCTATTCCAAAGCCATCTTATTGCCTATTTGTAAATATGTTTGCTTCTACATGAGTTGATTAATACTCTGGCTTTAACCACTGGCTTGACAGTAGCTGGGAAGGAAAAAGCATGCCAGTGGTGGAGCATAAACTACATTCAGATAAAGCAGGCAGCCGGGCTGTGGAGGCCTTTAGTAAAGGGTTTTCTTCTCTCTGTCACCTGTCTGTTCCAACCAAAAGAGCAGCTTATGTACCTACCTGGAAAGCTGTTTCTACCCATGTCACTTCCGACCCTGGGGGTGTGTTTTCCCTCATATGAAACAGTTCTGACATGGACGACCCAGTTAGGACAGACGCCACAGGTGAAGGGCTCCGCCGCACAAGGCTGCCGCCACTTCAACCGCCAATCACAAGTATTTTGTCCCCAGGTTACCCATACTCTTGCCCGTCTTGGCTGTAAATTGGGGGGTTCCCATGATGCCCTCCTTAGATTCCATAATTTGCTAGAATAGCTCACAGAACTCAGGGAAACCCTTGACTATTGCTGGCACATTCGAAAGGAAACTATAAAGGTTACACATGAACAGCTAGATGAAGAGGTATATAGGGCGATGTCTGGAAGGTTCAGAGCAGGGAGCTTCTGTCCCCATGAAGTTGGGGTGTGCCACCCCCTGGCAGGCACATGATGTGTTCGATCACCCAGAAGCTCCCCAAACCCCTTCATTTAGGGTTTTTATGGGGGTTCCATTCGGTAGGCATGATTGATGAAATCAGTGGATATTGATGCTTAATCCAGTCTCCAACCCCTTTCCTCTGAAAGTTCCAATCTTCTCATCGCCTAGTTCCTTCCTCCAGCAACCAGCCCCTTCCTCCAGGAGTCCCCTCAGGTGTGGCTGAAGGGGGCTTGTTATAAGTCACAGAAGACTGTCCTATCACACCTGTCACTCAGACTATGCCAAGGGCTGAAGGAGCTCTGTGCCAGGAACTGGGGAGAAGACCAAGTAGCTTTCCTATACCACAAGATGTCAGTATCGTTGTTAAAGAGACACTGAGGCACATTAAACAACTTTAAGAGTTTATTTGAGCAAAAATCTGTTTGAATTAGGCAGCACCCAATCTAGCAAACAGCAAGGAGCTCCAAGGAGCTACACAAAGTGACAGCTTTTATAGGCAGAAGGGGTCAGGGCCACGGAAGGTCTGCCAGGCAGAAAGCAGGTTGGTTATTGCAAGGTTACTTTCCTTTAGAGCTGGCAGGATTGGATCAGGCAGATGACCCAACTAGTACTGATCAGGCGGCTCCTGATTGATGGTCTAAGATGCCATTTTGGGGAGAGCTGAAACTAAGTATTGGTTTAGCATAAGTGACTCTATCTGGGGCCTCTGACCTTGTTTCTAACACTGTGTAGGCCAACAGAGCCAATATAACTATTGAAGAAAAGCAGTACAGCATTGTGTTGATACTTCTTAAGGAAAAGTTAAAAGATATTTTTCTCTTCAAAGTCACTACATTTTCATTCCTGTTTTGAAGACATTCCAATCAACTAAGCAGTCTTGAAATTTAACTTTCTAAAACTCCCCGCGATTATTAGGCAAAAGCAAACAAACCCTGGCAAGATCGCTTTGGCATTTTATCCCCTACCTCAGAGACAGAGCATCGAGTGTGTTCCAGAAAGAAGTTCCGTGTTGCTGAAGCGTAGGGGCCCTGTGGGGCAGTGGGAGACGGGGGCTGGAAGGGCCGGCGGGGACAGGTGAGGGGCCCTGAAGTCTTCCGAAGCCCGGAGTTTATTTTAAGGGCAGTGGGAAGGCACTGACACATTGTAAATAGGGAGTGATGTGATCCGTATGTTATTAGTTCCCCAGGTGTAATGAATAGGTTGTAGTATTTTAGCAAAAAGTCTTCCGGTTTCAGGGCTGGAGGGAGGAAGACCGGACAGGAGACTGTCTTGGGTTTGGGTCAGAGCGGCGTGGATGGAGAGCAGTGGACACATTTGAGAGATGTGATGGCTGGATGGAGGGAGAGAGGAAGAAACGGCACCAGAACGATGTATTCTGCTCCCTCCCCATCTCCATGTGAGAGCCAGGACTAGCGAGTGGCTCCTGGCATCCCTTCTCGGTTCTTCGGTTCTTCCGTTTGGGAGAGGCGGGCTGCGATTCTGGCTGCCTCCCTGCCTCCGCAGTTACATTAGGATTCAAGAACAAATGCTCTGGAACCCCTCTGAGAGGCTCGAGGCCTGAAGGAAATTAGATCAGACCTTCGAAGTTAGCCTTTGGTAGACGATAACGTTTGGCACACAGGACCAGAAGCTTCTGGTGCCTGCTGGCGTAGCTCAGCCTCTGCGTGCCTTTGGCCGGCGTGAGCGGGCGGATAAAAATGCTTACAGGATAATAATGCTTGCAGCTTCTGCAGAGATCTCTTTGCAACACCTCAGTCAGTTTGACTTATTATTGTGAATAATATGGAGACTAGACCTTTCTCATTCTTCCCGTTTATCCTTTCTTAGGAGGCCTTGGGAATAGGGGTTGTAAGCAGAATTAGAATTTTTGTCTTCAACATAAAATGGAGCGGAGATGCGGGCTATTTGAAAAGACAGTAGGAGGGAAGAACAGACAGTTTGTAGACATGTTCCATAATAGAAGGTGAAACTGGAGTCAATGTGTCCCAAGGAGAATTGGGGCTGGCAGAATTATTATTCAAATAAAGCAGGATAACATCAAAAAAATTAAAAGGCGTGCTCTTTCTTTTTGATTTAGAAGTGTGTGTGCACATGTGTGTATGTACTGGTTGGTGCTTGAAATCAGAGGTGTTTTGTTTTTTTTCTCTCTCTCTCTGGAGGCCCAAGGAATGTATCTGAGTGGGCCCATCCATTCCTCTCTAATCTAAGCAGCCACCAAGGTCTGGTGCCCTGCATTGCAATGTGTTTGTTGCAGAAAAATAATACAGTTCAGCTTTAACGTGTCCATGCCACAGACAGACGGAAATCCTGGCTCTAAAACAATACTGACATCTGAATGAGTGAGCGTATCAGGAATGCCTGAATGACACCAGGGAATTTTGGAGCAAAATTCACTTTTGACATGAGTTGAGATGGCTGTTATTTCCTCTGATGTCGAGTTGACCATGTGGAGGTCGGGAGAATAGAATGTCATGTTCTTTCACGGGAGCCATGCTGTGAGCAACTCTATCCAAACAGAATGTCATGCCTCTCAGCTGGAGACCCAGGAGGACTGACCCTGTGCCAAGGGTGAGGACAGGAGGTGATTACAGCTTACCAGGCAAAGAGAACCATCTGCCCAAGAAGTTCAGGGAGCCTTATTTAGGCTCTTCCACAAAACTTAACGCTTCCCCCTCTCTTTCTGTCCTTGCAGAAGTGCGTACTGTGCCGCCTCCGTAGCCTCCCTGACCAACATCATCACTCCAGACCTCTTTGCAGGCACTGCTGAATGGATAGCAAGGTGAGAGAAGCTGGGATTTGTCCTGGCCCCTTAGACAGCAGGTGGTCAAAGGACTTCTGAAAACTAAAGGCAATGAGAAAAGACTGGAAGGAAGAGTAAAATGACAAGAGATCCATTAGGGTTGTAGCATGGTGCATTTTAAAATTACTTTAAAAGTTTTCTTTTCCCCCAGATTTCTTTGATGTTGTATTCCAGTTTAGATTGGCAAAGATCAAAAACTTGGTTAGACAGTAATGGTGGGAGTTCAAATGGGTTCATCCAGTTGGAAAGCAATTTGGTAATATCTCAAAGTAGCCCTTGCTGATGACCTAGTGATTCCACTCCTGCAGAAACTCTCACTCAGATGCATGAAAGAGACAAACATAGGTCTTGTTTATAACAGCAAAAAGCTGGAAACAGGTTAAATGGTTGTAAGTACGAAATGGAGAAGTGATTTTTGTACAGGCACATTGGAATATAATATAGCCGTCAAAATGAATGAACGAGAGCTGCATGTATCAGTATGGACAAATCTCAAAAACAGTGTTTAGTAAAAAAGGGGGGAGGATGTTAAAACATGCCAATCAGGATATTTACTTAAAATTTTAAAATATGCAAAACAATTCTATATTGTTTATGGGAAGAATCACATGCAATAATGTAAAAACATGCATGGGAGCCCTGACCAGTGTGGCTCAGTTGGTTGGGTGTCGCTCCGTGCATTGAAAGTTTGCCAGTTTGATTCCCGGTCCGGGCACATGCCTGGATTGAGGGCTCCCGGGTAGGGGGCATGCAGGAGGCAACTGATCAAAATTTCACTCTCACATTGATGTTCCTCTATCCCCCTTCCTCTCTCTCTAAAAAAATAAATTTAAAAATCCTTTTTAAAAGTTATTAAAAACACACACACACACACGCATGGGAAAGTTAAACAGCAAATTCAGGACAGTGGTTACATTTGGGGAGAGAGTAAAAGAAATGAGGTCAGGGAGGTCTACACATCTCCACGGAAGACTTCAACTCTATCTAATTGTTTATTTCTTTAAAATATTTTTTAAAAACCCTGAAATGTACATGGGTAATTAAAGGTAGGTATCAGATACATGTATGTTCCCTATATTATTTCCTATACTTTCCTGGATGCTTCAAATATTTCATCATTAAAAAATAGAAGACAAACCCTAGCCAGTTTGGCTCAGTGTTTAGAGAGTTGGCCTGTGGACTGAAGGGTCCTGGTTGATTCTGGTCAAGGGCACATGCCTAGGTTGCAAGGGGCGTGCAGGAGGCAACTGATCAATGATTCTCTCTCATCATTGATGTTTCTATCTCTCCTTCTCCCTTCCTTTCTGAAATCAATAAAAATATATTTAAAAAAAAAGAAAACAAAAGGTATAGTAGATACATGTGTATATTATAGAAAGATATCCAAACTGTATGTTTTTTTAATATTTCTATTTTTATCAAAGTAATACTTATTACTATGAAAATATAAGTTATAGCTAAATCAGATGATGTACTATGATACTATTTATTTTTTTGTAAAACTTTTATTTTCTTAGAATGAATCATTACTTCTTTTTAAAAATGTATGTACCATGAATTCATCCCCCCAAATTACTCTCAATGCGGTCAAGCACTTCAGATAATGTATCCATTCCCGTGTGTGTGTGTGTGTGTGTGTGTGTGTGTGTATTTGTGTACATGTGCGCACGTGTGTGTTTGAGTTATCCCACCTGGAGCCCTCTGCCCTCCTGCTTCTGTCTGGACAGATTGCTCTCAGCTTGCACACAGCGGGCATCCACCAGCTTCGTTTCAGCATAAAATTCACTTCACTCCTCTCCTTTGTTGAAGCCCTGTCCTCCTTTCTCTTGGTTTACTAACTCATGTTAATGAAGCACATACTCCAATAGATCTTCCAAAAGAGCAATTGGTGACACATTTTTTAAAAGTTTTAAATTAAATTTATTGGGGTGACATTGGTTATGGTGATACATTTTTTAAAATACATATTTTTATTGATTTCAGAGTGGAAGGGAGAGGGAGAGATAGAAATATCAATGATGAGAGGGAATCATTGATTGGCTGCCTCCTGCACATCCCTCACTGGGGAATGAGCTCACAACCCAGGCATGTGCCCTGACCGGGATTCAAACTGTGACTTCCTGATTCATAGGCCGATGCTCAACCACTGAGCCACACCAGCCAGGCGGTGATACATGTTGTAAGATTTTACATATATCTATTCTAGTCTCACATTTGATTAGTAGTTTATTTGGTTAGAGATTTCTAAATTGAAAATTATAAGTTGTATTCCTTCAGAATTTTTAAGTATTGTTCCATTATCTTCTGGCTCCCAGTGTCATCGTTAAAAAAGTTGATAATAATAATAGCCAACATTTACTGAGGGCTTGGTATGTAATAATAGTGGAGTAGTTTAGGGATTGAGAGTATAGGCTTTTGAGTTAGAGTGCCTGGGTTTGGTTATTTTTATACTTTCTGTTGCTCAGTTGGAATTTTTTATTCATTACAAGTATATTTTTCTTCACTTCACTGAAATAAATATATAATTATAATACCTGCTTCAAAATCCTTCTCTGGTAATTTTAATATCAGGGTGTCTTTGAGTAAGTATGTCATATTTTCCTGATTCTACATATGTCAAGTACTTCTATAGCCTTTGAAATGACTGTGTAGTGTTCTGTTGTACAGATACACCAGGATTTATATAATTAGTCCCTTACTGTTGAGCTCCTGTGCTGACGCTAATATTTTATGGTTATGAATGGGAATATAGTAAACATTCTTATAATCTGATCTTTGGAAACACTCTTATTTTATAGGATTAATTACTAGAAATGACCCTGTATTTCTGGGCCAAAGATTATGCATGTTTTAATGCCTAGAAAATACACTCTTAATATATAGTCTAACCTCAAATTATAATAATAGTAATAATAATAAATGAGTAATTTGGATACATAAGAAACCATAAATTAAAAAATAAGTTATTGTGGCCCTAACTGGTTTGGCTCAGTGGCTAGAGCAGGAGGGCCACAATGGGTTCTTAAACTAGACCGGAGGGCCGGAACAAAAGCATGGATGGAGTGTTTGTGTGAGCTAATATAAATTCAAAGTAAACATCATTACATAAAAGGGTACGGTCTTTTTTTTTTTAGTTTTATTCATTTCAAACGGGCCGGATCCGGCCCGCGGGCCATAGTTTGCCCACGGCTGGGCTAGAGTATCAGCCTGTGGACCGAAGGGGTTTGGGTTTGATTCTGGTCAAGGGCATGTACCTTGGCTGCAAGCTCCTCCCTAGCCCAGACCCTGGTTCGGGCTCATGCAGGAGGCAGCCAATCGATGTGTTTCTCTCAGATCAATATTTCTATCTTTTCCTCTCTCTTCCACTCTCTTTAAAAATCAATGGAAAAATATCCTTGGGTGAGGATTTTTAAAAAATAATAAAAACAATAAAAAAATAAGTTATTTTAGGTAGTTATAAAGGCATACATGTTTACTATAGAAACTCTTGAAAATACAGAAGAATAGGAAAAATATTAGCAATAGAGCTGTACTAAAAGATAACCAGAATTAGCAATTATTTTTCAATTTTATAACTTTTTTCCAAAAAGTAATGCTTTGAGGTGCTGTGTTTGTTACATAAGTAGACTATTTCTGAGTTTCCTTTTTTTGGTGGTGGTGGGGGGAGGCATTTCCAAAAGTTAATTAGGTGACATCTTTCTATTCATGGTTGTGGTTTATGCCTTAATGTGAGTGAACACATTCTTTGCCTCCCAGGGTCCTACATTTGTGCCCATCCACTCAGCCCGGCCTCTCATTGGTTGACACTGACCCCTTAATCTCCTTTCTCAATCTTCTCCCAGGTGTCAGAATTGGGAAGGTGGCATTGGTGGGGTGCCAGGGATGGAAGCCCACGGAGGCTACACTTTCTGTGGCCTGGCCGCACTGGTCATCCTGAAGAAGGAACGTTCCTTAAACTTGAAGAACTTATTGGTAAGTGTCTGTTGATCCATCTTCCTCCCAGGCCCCCAGGCCCCAGTGATGTGACCACTCAGACAGGCTTGTGGGAAGGTCTGGCTCTGGGAGGGCGGATAGCTCCTGCCTTGAGCTCGTGAACCAGAAGTGCTATAAAGCAAGTACGTCAAACTCGCGGCCCGAGGGCCACATGCCTCATTTATTTGGCCCTTTGAGTTTGACATGCTTGCTGTAAAGCTTTAGATAGAGTTGCTAGAGTGCTCACGCTGCTCTGAGGAAGTGGAAGGAGTGGACAGCTGCTCTCAGTTTCATCTCCCTTCTGCCTGCCCGCCCGTCTTCCTGCTCTGAACTTTCTACATGGTGCGTTGGGCCAACTCCAGCGTTTTCTTGAGTCCCTCAGACATCTGGGATGAGCCAGAGTACCTTCCCCAGACTTCCAAGAAAAACGTAGCTTCAGTCTCTTAAAATTAGGGGTTATCATGAGTCTTAGAATATCCCACGAGAAGAATTTATGAGAAGCTTTGAGGCATCTCGAAGCCAAGCTTTTATTACCTACCACGCTATGTGAACACTCAGTCACCAAATTTAAATTTGCTGGGCAGAGCTGGGTAATTGCATTGAGCAGGCGGCCCACACATTTATATCTGGACTCCAAGCTCCTGACCAATATTCAGAATGAACTCGGAAAACGGTCAGCTTCAAGGAGCCACTAGATTATAGTTAAATTATCATTGGAGGCCTTGTGCACAAACTCACACACCCACAGCCACCCAGGAGATGTCTTGGGGAAGCGTCTTCTCTCTGATCATGACCTTACAGCAAACCGCTGCAATTGACAGTCATCTTTTCTCCCCAAGTTCATATGTCAGGCTCCTATCGTGGGAGTTGTCGTGAGACCCATCGAGAGCTTCCTGGAGACTCTCTGTCATACTCTGTAGGGAGATGACCGGCAGCGTTTTGTCTTCCTCCGTAGGGACCTCCTAAAGCATATTCTTCGAAGGCTGTTAAAGGCTTGAAGATTCATACTGAAATGGCCAACTTTGTGCACTAGACTCTGAAATCCACTAAAATCTGATGACTAACGGCGCATGAAACATAGACCCTCCACCTCCCAGGCAGAAGTAAAGAATATAATTAGCGCCCTAACCGGTTTGGCTTAGTGGATAGAGCATAGGCCTGTGGATTGAGGGGTCCCAGGTTCGATTCTGGTCAAGGGCATGTACCTTGGTTGCGGGCACATCCCCAGTAGGAGTTGTACAGGAGGCAGCTGATCGATGTTTCTCTTTCATCGATGTTTCTAACTCTCTATCCCTCTCCTTTCTTCTCTGTAAAAATTCAATAAAATATATTTTTTAAAAAAAAGAATATAATTAGCAAATGCCTCCGTTATAGATATTCTAGATTTGGGCCCTGTCCTCTACCACTTCCTGGCCATGTGACCTTGGGAAACTTGTCTAATCTGTTTCAGCTCCAGCTCCCCTCCCCCCTCTCTATAAGGGAGAGATAATAGTTCCTTGAGGGTTAAAGGAGTGAACGTATATGAACAGCCTGGCACCTAGTAGGTGCTCAATAAATGTTAGTGTCCTTCTTACCAAACTCCCCCCCCTCCCCCTCCCATTTGCTTTGGGAGAACTAGGCCCTCTATCTGGAGGGTTTTATATAGTCAATAGAATGAACCCATGGGCTTAGACACTGGAAAAAATTTTAGTCTGGCTTAAAAACACTTAATCTGTGGGGTAAGTAAAATGAAGACTGGACCTCCCATGAGAGTGCCAGTTATCTCTCTTCTTCATTAAATGGCATCATCCCTAAAGCACTGGTTTATTTAAGACAACCGGGGATATACTAGTGCCTCCATCTGCAGTGCAATTTACTTATTTGTTTTTTTGGTCTTTTTTTTTTAAGAACTTGGGATTGTGGCTTTCTGAGTGGGTGTTGCCTTAAACAGGGATATCATCTAAACTCTACAACCATTAACATTAACTTAAAGGAGGACTGGAATCCCCTCCCCGCCCCGCTCTCCCCTCCCCCATCCCCCCTCCAGTCCCCCCCCCCCACACACACTTTCTTTTTTTTTTTAAATATATTTTTATTGATTTTAGAGAGGAAGGGAGAGGGATAGAAACATCAATGATGAGAGAGAATCATTGATAGGCTGCCTCCTGCATGCCCCCTACTGGGGATCAAGCCCACAACCCAGGCATGAGCCCTTGGGACCCTTCAGTCCGCAGGCCGACGCTCTATCCAGTGAGCCAAACTGGCTAGGGCCACACACACACTTTCTGCAAGCGTTCCGTGTGGCTACTTTCAGGAACTCAGCCTAGTAAGAATCTAGGTGCAGGGAAATACCCTACTCTGCACCGTTCAGTTACCATGGCAGCTGTGGAAGCCCATGGCTGGTGGCTGCAACCGGCTTGCAGGGCGGGGAGGGAAATGGAAATACCATTATCTGCTCAGCCAGCTGGTCCTGCTCGTTCCTAGGGCCCCAACCTGTGACTATCTTGATCTTAGTAGTCGAGCGTGTTTAGAAAGTTGGAGATAAGCGAGGAATGCTAATATCATGTGACCACTGAGTGACATCAAGAGCCATTTTACAGGTCCAAAGTAAAAGATTTTCTTCTGTCAGCCAACCAGGTTCCCTGGAGAGAGGCTAGACTGGACACAGCCACCATCAGCCATCAGAGCCGTAATCGGCCGTTGGGACGAATGGCTTCTGCTTCCATTCTTGCAAGGGACTTGCTTAGAGGCCTGGGATGAATTTCCTCAGGAGCCAAGTAAAAGTCAGGAACAGTTTGAGATCATCGGATGGGATGGAGCACAAAATTCCATTTATCTGCTTTTAATAAACTTCCCTGAGCAGAGGACGTGATTAGAAATGAGTTCCTGGTGGTCTTGCCTTCAGTGTCCTAGCGAAGCCCCATTTAAGAGACATTTGCAGATCTCCTTTCAAGCCAGCGTGGCCTTTTCATCCCCTCAGCACCGAACCCATTTGAACCTGGTAAAAGGCGGCTAATTGTGCTAGGCTCGAGCAGAGATCCATGCTGGTTGCCTCGAAAGGGTGGGCTGAAGTGCTCCACTTGAGGTCTGAGGTCTGAGGGGAAAGAGGTAAGCAGCCACAGCACCAGAGCTGTGAGCACCAGGAAGCCAAGATCGGCCTCTGGAGCTGGTCTTGTCTCCGTTAGCTGACAGCTGCCTCTCCCTCTTTGTCTCTTTCTCAGCAATGGGTGACCAGCCGGCAGATGCGGTTTGAAGGTGGGTTTCAAGGCCGCTGCAACAAGCTGGTGGACGGCTGCTACTCCTTCTGGCAGGCGGGGCTGCTCCCCCTCCTGCACCGCGCGCTGCACGCCCAAGGTGAGCGGAGCTGCTGGCGAGGGCGAGGTGGTGGCCTGGGCTGCTCACCAAGCCACGGAGTCAGCGTGCATTTCCAAGGGGTTGAAATAGCTCTGTCTCTCCTGGATGTTGAGTTCCCACCCAGTGTGGGACCTCGTCTCAGGCATGCACGTACAGACTCGGGTAGGAATTGGTTCCAGTGGTTAGGGGGTCATGGCTGCTTCACACTGGCTGTGCCTAGAGGAGGCGGGCGCCTGTCCTGGGCTCCAAGGTGACTGCCACCTCAGCTGTGTGTGAAGCCACAGTTTCCAGTGCAGTGCTCTGTACTCGTCACATCAGAACCGAAAACCCATGCTGCGCCCATGGCAACTGCATAAAGGGGCAGAGAGCCAGAACACACAGAGAAAAGACCCGCCGTGTCTGTCTGGCTGCATCCTTGCCACCTCAGAAATGTATTTTAAAATGTTGGAGAGCCCGGCCGGTGTGGCTCAATGGTTGAGCGTTGACCTATGAACCAGGAGATCATGGTTCAATTCCCGGTCAGGGCACATGCCTGGGTTGCGGGCTCAATCCTCAGTGGGGGACGTGCAGGAGGCAGCTGATCCATGATTCTCTCTAATCATTGATGTTTCTATCTCTATCTCCCTCTCCTTTCCTCTCTGAAATAAAATAATAATAATAATAATAATAATAATAATAATAATAAAATGTTGAAGAATCTGAAACACAGGTTTGTCCCACCGGCACTGCTGGAGTGGAGGGACCCGTGTTCTTCTGTGGCGTCTCCACTGGGAACAACCAAAAACCAAAGCAGTTAGACAGCAAGCAAGGCCTCTGGGAGCCTCCCCTGATTACCTCCTGAAATCTCAGCTGCCTGCTGACTCCTGAATTATCTCCCCCCGACTATTTTGTGTGAGAACAGGATGTCCCTGAGGAAGCAGTGGGAGAGGGGAGGCGTGGCTCTCTGCTGGGTGCCGATCTCTTCTTGGAGTGAGGTCCCTTGGCCCAGGGGAAGCTTTTCTTTGGACTTGGCGGCTGGGCAATCAATTGCTCAGCTGGAGAAGATGAGATTCTTTTCTACTGCCCGCCCCACCCCTAACGCACACGTACACACGTTCTCTCCTTGTTTGGCTGTTCTTTCGGAGCCCCTTTCTTTAGTTTCTTAATTTCACTTGAGTTGCGGCACTTTTGAGACTGAATTGAAGTAAGCGGGGCCTCTGTCCTGCCCTCCCATTCGCTTTGTCTCGGTCTGTCCTGAGATGCTTGGCCTGGGGCCCCTGGGCTTCCGGTCTCAGGGCCGTAGACCTACCAATCCCCTGACTCTGGCCTGACCACTACAGTGTGTGTGTGTGTGGGGTGGGGGGAGGGGGGGCGCGGGTTGGGAATTCGCCTAGAGTCCAGAAATAACACGGGGTTTTAGTGAACTTTTTATTGGAACTGGTGAGACCGAGCCCCTGGTAAAACCGCCAGCCTTGCACAAACCTGTCCCTGGCAGGGGTGAGACGCAGTCGCCCTGCAGTTGCCAGGAAAATGCGGAGAGAGCTGTAACAGGAGCACCACGTGCCAAAGTCTTCAAGGGGGGCCCCGGTTGACATTTTGTTTATTGTAGCACCAGCTCTGGAGGACGAGTCACACCCAAAGCTTTGCCCGTGGAAAGGTTGCCTGGGAATCTTGGTGCTCCCAGCTTTCTTCATGCCTGGGAGAAGGCCCGTGTTGGGCCGACACTTGACACTCGCGATCCTCAGAAACAGTGGGCTTGGGCCAGGCGGGTCTGGGAAGAAGGGGAGTGTTTTGAACGGTGGGCCAAATGCTGACGTTGGGAGTCAAAAGGAGTTGCAGTGGGGAAACTTATTTAGAATAGACTGTGATCAGAACTAGGCTTAGAGCATTCTGCATGGAATTCCAGTTTCCGCGGAGAGCTGACTCCAAAAAACTCATGGGAGAGATCTGGGTTGTGAAATGGCAGGTGATGTTCGTTTTCTTTCTTTTTTTATTTTTATTTTCCAATTTTTCTACAATGACTTTGTATTTCTATATAAAGAAAACCAACAGAAGTTATTTTACAAAAGAAGGGAAATTACATAAACAAAACAAGTAGCAAGGTGGGGAACATATTTGTGACAAACCATGAAGGGCTCATGTCTTTAATTTGAGAAAGTCATCTGGGTCAACAGGGAACAGCGAAACAACCCAGGCGAAAAACAGGCACGGGCTCTGAACAGGCAGGTTCGGGACGGACAGAGACAGAACTCACGGACTCGGGCAACAGTGTGGTGGGAGGGGTGGGTGGAGGTAGGAGGGGGAAGGGGGGTGGTAAATGGTGATGGAAAAAAAGTTAAAAAAAGAAAAAGAAGAACTGCTGTTATTATTACTTCTACAACTGCTGCTGCTGCTGGCAGCTGAGACTCACCAAGCACTCACCATCAGCCAGGGACTGAGCTGAGTCTTTCACATAGATTTCCTCATTTGACCCTCAAAACAGCCTTTTGCAATAGGTGCTATTGTTATTCCCATTTTACAGATGAGGAAACAATACATCGAGGGTAAGCGACTTGCTTTATAAATCCCTGATTGACACCTACGAAGGTGTCAGAGCTCTGCTCGGTTACCACCACGGATGGCCATCAATCACACGAAAAGGCAAAGGCAATAAACTGCAAACAGAAACAGTGGGGCACTATTCGTTTTTTGCTATCAGACTGACAGATTAGAAACCTTGATACTCTCTGTAGGGGAAAGTGTGGAAAATGCACGTTTGTACTATTAGTTGGGGTGGAAATACGTGCATCATTTTTTGGAGGGTGGTTTGGAGGCATCTGTTTAAATTATTTGAACCCTGCATGTGCACTGTCAGGAATTTACCTGCAGTGATGTGACCAAAGATGTGTACTGAAGTGGAGTTTTAATAGAAAACAACCCACTGCCCAACAAAAGGTCAGCCGTTAAATAAATTATGATCCCTCCATGCAGTGCTGCATACAATGATGTGGAAAGCTCTCCAGGACACAGCCCAAAGTGCGAAAGGCCAGGCCTGGAGCAGTCCGTGTGCACACAGGCCGGCATCCACACAGCCTTTCCTAGACTCGGGCACAAAGCCCCTTTAACAGTGGGGGCCTCTGGGAGAGGGGAGGAAGGGCGGGGGGTAAAGGGGGAGGAGGACAGCACTTCCTTCTTAAATTTGCCCTCTGTACTATACTCTGCCCTCCCCTCCCCCTCCGTTTGTTTTTTGTTTTTTATTGTGTGCATTGCTACTTTTAGTAGATGAATAAATACACGTTTAAAAGGTGGTGATCCTATTGCTAACTAAAAAGATAAACAGGGATCGACATAGGTCAGCACATGAACCCAAGCTGGACCCTGACTCTGCGAGTGGCCGTCAGTAGTTCCTGGGGGTGGATGCCTAAGGCGTGTAGAAGACAGTGTTTGAGTAGAAGCATGAGTTATTGGTGTCTTAAAAATATCAAATACTGACTAAATTAGTGAATTATTTGGAATAGTTGGAGGAATAGGAAAGCAGCAGGCCTGTGAGTTTCTGTCCAGATTGGTTCCTCGTTGCTTGTTTGTTCTTGGGGACATGCCCCGAGCCTGTGTTTGGCCACCTGTGAAATTAAGCTACATGTGGCCGCACCTGTCACTTACTGTTTGGAGGAACTTTTCATTTCTTAGATAAAAGGAACCTTTGGAATGCAAAATGGCATGATAAGGAGGATCTGTAATTTCAGGGAGAGGCATGAAGGATTTAAAAGCTGACTCCAGTGCACAGTGTCACCCTGTAATCATATCTCCCTTCATCTCACGATGATTCCGTGTGCGGTGTGCAAATTCAAGTTCTCTGGAAGCTGCTTGTCGAGGTTATGAACTTGGAGCTCTCAGACTTCAGTCGTGTGGGAGGTAACCGAAGCACTCTGTAATCTGTCCGACAGTAAACATAGCATTTTCTTTCCAGATTCTAATTTTTGTGATAGGTTATCATTTACCTTATAATAACAGCCTTTTATTTCATATAGGATATGAAATAAAGGTATATTTTATACAGATGCTTAACGCTATTATCCTAAAGTTTAATAAATATGCATTTTAAAATAATAGCTTTCTTGAGACATAATTCACATGCCATACAATTCACCCATTTAAAGCACACAATTTAATGGTTTTTAGTGTATATATAGAGTTGTGCAGCCATCACCATAATCAGTGTTAGCGTTTTTATCACCCCTCCCCCCCCCAGAATCCCTGTACCCATTAAATATGCTTCTTTAAAGAAGAAATTACAAAGGCAAAATCAACAGTGTGATTACAGAATATGTGTAATATATACTAGTAGTATATATTTTTTTTCTTTCTTTAAAACCCATGTAACCAAACAAAAGGGGAAATATGTGTAGCATATGATACAGGCAAAGGATAAATATAATGGAAAGCTAGATTGGTAAAATAGATTCTTGGACCTCAGAAGACAAAGGACCAACAGACACTCTCAAAAAGAAATACAACGAGTAAATAAAAGTCATGGGACAATTTCACTCTAATTAGTAACCAAAGGCATGTAAATCAAAACAAATGATCAGGTACTGTTTCTTTTTAACATTTTAAATACTGAGAATTTTTTAAGTAATCAATGCTGGAGGTAGTACAGGAACATCTTAAATTTTGCTGGTGGCTATATAAAATTTTAAAGCAGTTTATCAGTATCTATTAAAAGCCTTAAAAATGTTATTCCCTTTACCTGAATAATTCCACTCCTGTCAATCTGTTGGAAGAAAGTAATTCTAACACAGAGAAGCCTCACAAAGATGTGTATTGCAGCATTTTTTAGTAATTTTGCAAGGAACTGGAAAACATTGGAAATAAGGAAAAGGAGATAAGGTGAAGTCCCTTCATAGATGTCTGTATCTTCTACAAAGTCAGCTGTGCTCATAGGTGGGGAAAGAAGAAAGGGGAGTAATTAAAGTAGTGCGAGGGATTCAGTGAGCATGCGCTACGCTGAGCGAGCCTGAGGGGGGCCTCAGAGCTCTCTCCTGCTGCTGGGCTCAGTTCCTATGTGCCTCTCCAGAGTGAGCATCTCAGGGACCGAGCATGACTCAGGTGTTGAAGATGGATGGTGTTTGTACATGACCCTCAAATGTCCACTGCACCACATTGAGTGCTCAAACCAGGAAACAGTGATCACTTTCCAGCTGCCCCATCTCTTCCTCGCTCATTTCAGAAATTTGTAAACATATGTATGTGTGTGTGTGTGTGTGTGTGTATGTGTGTGTGTGTATATTATATGGTATACATCAGTGGTTCCCAAACTTATTTGGCCTACCGCCCCCTTTCCAGAAAAAATATTACTCAGCGCCCCCTGGAAATTAAATTTTTTTAAATTTTAATAGCAATTAAACAGAAAGATATATGTATTAATGTTTCTACCTTTTTCGTAAAATATAGTAAAGAAAGGTGTAAATTAGAAACATTGAAGTTTGAAATTATGAAACTATTTATTGAACTCAGAATAGAAAGGTAATACAAAAAAAGTTAAAACAAATGCACCTGTGGCCATCACCGCCCCCCTGGATCGCTGCAGCGCCCACCAGGGGGCGGTAGCGCCCACTTTGGGAATCACTGGTATACATATATATGTCCCACAATTAAATATTTTGCTTACACACTCTCTCTTATATACTGCATTTACTGTATTGCAGTATATAACATTGACAAATTTTTATCATAGAAGATTCTATGCTCATATATATGAAAGTTTTGGCCCACTGTCTATATTAATACAGTTACCATGTGCATCCACTTAATGAAATGCTACATAGCTCTTCAGAATGATGGTTATGAAGATTATGTAGTAGAACAGGAAAGTTTATATCTATAGTGTTAAATGAAAAACTTAAGATATAATCTATAGATGTAAAAGGCTAATATGCTAAGTGTCCGACCAGTCGTTATGATGCGCACTGACCACCGAGGGGCAGACGCTCAATGCAGGAGCTGCCAAGCTGCAGTGACTTGGCAGCAGCGGTTCTTGGGTGACGCACCCCAAAACCTGAGAGGAAGAAGCATGATTCCTCGCAGGGTCATGTGATTCCACCTTCGGCCGTGGGTTATGTTGTTGTTGGGGCACTGTTGACCCTGAATCTGGTTTACTGCACACTTGCATTTGCGCTCCATACCCTGTATAACAGCAACTTTGCAGAGCGCCCTCTCGCACTCCGGGACCCCTCGGGAGATGTTGGAGGGCCAATTTCGGCCCTGATCCCCGCAGGCCAGGCTGAGGGACCCCACCTGCTGCAGGGACCCCTCTCACTCTGCAGATGCTGGGGAGGGACCGTGGGGGGTTGGCTCCAGGGCATATCTGGCCGGTCTCACCCAGTCCTGCCCTGCCGGCCACCTTCTAATTAATTTCTTTTCAATGTGCAGGAATCCATGCACCGGGTCACTACTAGTATAATAACTATATAGAAAATTGCTTAGAAACAAAGAAAAAATGGCTTTCAATTGCCGTTTACAGATTGTTTGCTATCTTTGAAGCCCAGGTATCAAAGTATAAAATTGACCAAGGACTTAATGAACATCTTATATGTGTATTTTTTAAAGCTGTTTTTACTTTATATTTTTTATCCTCACTTGAGGACATTTTTCATTGATTTTAGAGAGAGGGGAAGGGAGAGAGAGAGAACAATGTGAGAGAGAAACATTGATCGGTTGCCTCCCACATGCACCCCAACCGGGCCACAACCTTTTGATGCACCGGATGGTGCCCAACCTACTGAGCCATGCCAGCCAGGGCCTATATGTGTATTTTTAAGAAAATCAACCCCATGTAAATGTTTCCACCCACATCTATCTCTCGGTGATTTGTCCCTCCTCCCCACCTGATTACCATGTGGCCCACAGAATTCTCTGATCATACTGATAGAACTTTAGAGTGAAGAAGCGCAGTACTTTAGTATTATTAGCACAATTGCCCGTTTCTACTCGGGCTACCATGTTACATGATACAGGAGGGCAGTTCCTAGCAACGCTTCTCAGGAACGTTTTTGAGCCAAGAGTAAAGTTGGAGAATTCCCTTTGGAGATAGATTAAATTCAGGCTTAGAAAAGTAGAACATGCAGACATTATCACTCCTGTTAAGAGTTCTCTTAGCTAATTAGAGTCTGGTTAACAAGTTTCCGAGATGAGCTAGAGCAGTGGTTCTCAACCTTGGCTGCACATTAGAATCACCTGGGAATCTTTTTAACATCCTGATTTCTGGGCCTCATCCTCTGGAAATTCTGTTTCTTTGTTAGTAATGTTGTGGCCCCACCCCGTAACAAAGAAACAGAATTTCCGGAGGATGAGGCCCAGAAATCAGGATTTTAAAAGGATTCCCAGGTGATTGTAATGTGCAGCCAAGGTTGAGAACCACTGAGCTAGAGGAAGTGCCTTCAAAGCCCAGACTGAGGAGGAGTGGGCCAAGTCAGGAGCAGTAACAGGTCAGCCTGGAAAGCCGAGCTCCCAGCTCAGCTTTGTCTGCTACGGATGTGGCTGAAGACGGTCGTCCTAGGACCTAGGTAGTGGGTGACTTGAAGCAAAGCAAAAGCCACTCTGCACTGCTGCTCTTGGACTCATGTCAAGGTCCAGGGGAAGGAACGTGTTATGGGACTTGGGTGAAGATATCAAGTGTCCCGAGATTGTAATTTCAACAGTAGTCCAAGAAGAATCGAGGGAAACCTTGACTGTTCCCATTGGGTAATAAAATGTGAAGAAGTGATGGGTACTGTGCTGGGCTTCAGACAGGCCGGGCCACACTGACCCTTTGCCTTCCTGCAGGTGACCCCGCCCTGAGCATGAGCCACTGGATGTTCCATCAGCAGGCGCTGCAGGAGTACATCCTCATGTGCTGCCAGTGCCCCGCGGGGGGCCTTCTGGACAAGCCTGGCAAGTGAGTGCCTGCCCTCCGGGAGGCGGGCTGGAGAGGGGACAGCGGTGTGGACCTCAGGCCTCCTCAGAGCCAGACGGCAGCAGGTGCCCACCTTCAAAAGCCCGGGTTCCCTTCCCATCCAGCTGCTGGTGTGGCGTGGGGAGAAGCACCCCAACTCCGGAGCCTCCTTTGAGTGCCGTCAATCCTGGCACCTCCCGTGCCCACCCTTCCCCCCAGTTTACATGCACTTCCCTCTCCAGACAGGCAAACAGATTGCTGGGTTGGTAGCTTTTCTTTCCTCTTTTTTTTCTTTTTCTTTTAACCAAACTGATTTAAATAGAATAGGATACAGAATTTTAAAACCCTTGAGTATCGTAAACAGATATAATCACAACTATTACAGGATAGCTTTGGGTGCCAAATAAAAGAAAAAGGGAAATCAGATAAGTTCTGTTCCCTTTGCTTCTCACCTGCCAAATGTGCTCTCTCCCTCCCCCTCCCCCTCCAACACACACACACACACACACACACACACACCCACCGCTGCTGCTGTCAGCACCCAGGGGAAGGCCCAGCTGAAGGCCGGTCCTCAGCAATTTATTGTGAAAAATTTGGCCTGTTTCTAGACATTTTGGTGTTTTTGTTTGTTTTTTGAGAAATATATTAACTCAGCACCAGCACTGCCCAGAGGACCCCTTTCTGGAAGGCAGCGGGAGGGACTGGCTCTAGGATGACAGCGCCTGTATCTGGCAGAGCTGAGGATGGGCTTTCAAAGGGCCTCTGGGGAAGCCGGGCTTCCTGGAGCTGCTGAGGAGGACAGGGCGGGGCTGCGAGCGCCTGGCCTCTGAGCCTGTGGTCGCTTTGTTGAAGGCTGTGCTGGGGGGCGGGGGTGGGGCCGTGGGGAGCGGAGGGGCACCTGCTCAGAGCTGCCCTGTCCTTGCAGGTCGCGGGACTTCTACCACACCTGCTACTGCCTGAGCGGCCTGTCCATAGCCCAGCACTTCGGCAGTGGAGCCATGCTGCACGACGTGGTCCTGGGGGTGCCCGAGAACGCTCTGGTAAGGCACCCCTTCCCCACAGGGCCCCCAGGACGGCCGCCCAGAGAGCAGCCACGCTCCTGCTGCAGAACTGGCTCCGCCTGTCTCCTGTGCGGAGGCCGGTGGGTGGCGGTCACCACCCTCCTGTGCTGACAGCCCATGGGGGAGGATGTGGCTGTGGAGGAAACACACCTGGAAGTTCTAGGTGGGGGCTCCAATCTGCGCCAGTTTTGTGCCTCTATCCCAGAGTCTAGGTAGGACCTGGGCCGTTTATCACTAGTTTCCTCTCTGAGGAGCTTCTCAGAGGCCAGGGGTTCTGCCCCGGCCCTCACTGTGTGGCTGGCGGTGTTTCTGGTGTTTCCAGAGCTCTCAGCTGCGTGCCTTGTCTCCCGGGGAAGCCTTCCCAGCCCACCAGCTGGAAATGAGATCGCCCAGAATGCTCTGCCACACGCCTTGTTGTGCCCTTCATAGTGTGTTTAATTTGCTTTTGTCTGCTGCCCTCGAAACTGTCAGCCTCATGCGGGCAGGATGTTCAGCACCACAGCCAGCCCTGGAGCAGCCTGGTCGCAGGATTGTCAGGAGATGTTTCCAACAGAAGCAGCACAGATGGCCAGTAGATGGATGAAATCAGAGTGACAGCCACTAGCTTTTTCAAGTCTTAACATTTTCCCATATTTGCCTCCTATGCAACCCTCTTCCATTTTTCTTCCTTCCCCCTTCTCAGCGTAACCCAGTCCTAAATTTGACCTTTATCGTGCCTGCAGGTGTTTTTGTGCTGTTACTTCAAATGCATGATCCTATAAATAATGTAGAGAGAGTTGTCTTGTATGTTTTCAGACTTTTATAACAGTACCAGAGATCCTGTGCAGGAATTCATGCATGGGTGGGGTCCCTTGGCCTGGCCAGTGGTCGGGGCCGATTGGTGCTGTCTCACCCAGTCCCTATTAGGGTGATCGGGGCTGGCCAGCTGGAGTGGGGGGAAGGGCAATCAGGGCCAGCTGACCGGGGGAGAGGGGGTTGCAGGAGGTTGGCCCACCCCAAGAGGGAGTGGGAGTGCACTGACCACCAGGGGGCAGCTCCTGTGTTGAGTGTCTGCCCCCTGGTGGTCAGTGCGCGTCATAGTTGACCCATCATTTGGTCATTCGGTCTTAATGGTTGCTTAGGCTTTTATGTATATAGATCTACTGAGCCACTTCCTCTGCATTGCTTTTCTCACCGACCTTTAGTTATACTGTTGAGTTTTTCTGTGTTCATATGTGTTGCTCTAGTTTAATCATGTTAATGACTATACGATCTTCCCCTGTATACATGTATCCCAACTTATTTTCCTAGTCTCCTGTTGGTTAACATCGAGTTGGTTTCAGTTTCTGCAATGACAGTGTCACAGTGGACATTGTGATGTCAGAGTTTTTCTAGGAGAGACTTGCTGGGGTGAAGAAATCCACACCCCACCTTCATGGATGGCAATGGCCTTCCCACGTGCCTGTGCTGTTTCACACTCACAGGGCACAGAGCTGCCCCAGTCAGCTCTTCCTCTCTGCCAGTTTGATAGTTTCGTTTTGCATTTCCCTGGTTACCAGTGAGGTTGAGCATCCTTTCAAATGTTATGTCTTTTTGTTGTTATGTCTTCTGTGAATTGCCTGCCAGCTCATATCCTTTGCTCATTCTTTTCTTCCTGATTTGTAACTTTAACTGTTTACCCTTTCTTACATATTTGTAGGAGTTCTCTCATACATGTCAGTATGTTCCTGACACTGATCCTGTATCAGTGGTGTGTGTGTGGTGAATCTCTTCCAGTTTGTGACTTGCCTTTTCACTTTGTTTTTGGTGTTTTGTGTTGAATAGATGATTTAAATTTTAAAGGGAACAATTTTATTTGCCTTTTTGGTTTTTGAGGTTTCTTTTTGGGGAGGGGGGGGTAGGTGGTTACCTAAGAAATTTTTTCCTATGCTGAGGTCATAAATATATTTCCTTCTAGACAGTTTAAACTTTTGCTTTTCCCATCTAGATTTTTAATTCTCTTGGAATTCATTTCTGTCTGTGGTGAGGGTTGGATATAATGTTATCTTTTTTCCATATGGATAACCAATTGACCAGCACCATTTATTGAAGTTCATAACCTTTCCTACTGATGCGCATTACGTGTGTCATATGCTCAATTTCTGTATATGAGGTGACTGTTTCCAGACACTGTTGGGTCCCTCTGGTCTGTTTGTCTATCTGCACTGTCTTAAGCAAATCTTATGTGCAGGTAGGCACGTCCCATCCACCTTGTTCCTTTTCTTTAAAGTTGTCTTGGCTATTTTTTCATTTTAGCTTCTTCCTGTGAATATAGAATCAGCTTCTCAAATTCCACAAAAAACATCTAATGGAATTTTTATTGGCATTGCATTGAATTTAAGATTAATGGGAGAACATGATGTCTCATTATTAAGGCTTCCTGTTTGTGAACATAACCATGTCCTTCAATGTCTTTTATCACTTTCTCCATAAAGAACTAGCATATCTTCTGTTAGATATATGTCTAAGAAATTTATAGTTTTTGTATCTATTGTGACCGGAATATTTTTCCCCCATTATATTTTGTAATTGGTTGTTACTAATGTGTAGAAATGCTATTGATATTGATATTTTAATTTTGTATACAGCAACCTTGCTAACCTTTCTTAATAGTTGTAATAGTTTATCTATAGAATCTTTTGTATTTCCTATTTAGAGAATAATGTCATCTTCAAATAGGTTTTGCCTTTTCCTTTCTGATTCTTAAGAATTTTATTTCTTGTTCTTGCCTTCTGGTGTTGGCTACAACCCCTCAAGGGTGTTGACTGGAGGTAGTAATAGAGGCTGTTCCTGTCTCGCTTCTGACTGTGCTGGGACGGTTTCTCTAATTTCATCAGTAAGCGGGATGCTTGCTGTGGGGTTTTGATACTAGTAAATACTTCATATCAGGTTCAGGATGTCCCTCTCTATTCCTGGTTTGCTAGGTTGTTTTTGTTCCTTAGTGTTACATTTTATTGAGTGCTTTTTCTGCACCTGTTTTTTCTCCTTTAATCTAATATGATATGCTTACTTAATAAATATTCTGATGTTCATCTTACATTCTCAGGTAAGCCCTTCTTAGTCATAGTGGCGTATGAGTGTGTGTGTATGTTTGTTTAATACATACACAGTTTGCTAATGTTTTTTGGCTAGTATTTTTATTTAGGACTTTTTGCATGTATGTTAATAAACTTGATCTAAATTTTTGTTTTGTTGTTGTTTTCCAGTTTGTTTCAGGATAATATTATAGACTCATAAAATTAGATGGGTATCTCTCCCCAACCCCTTTCTTCAGTCTTTGAAAAAGTTGGTATAGGTTAGAGATTTTCTGTTTCTTCTAGGTTTGATAACACTTGCCTGAGAAACCATCTAGGCCTGTATTTTGGGAGGTGAGGTAAGGTGAGGTGAGGAATGATGGTAGCAGAATAAGCTTGTTATTATAGATTTATTTCATACAGGTTTTATTTTTAAAAAAATATATTTTATTGATTTTTTACAGAGAAGAAGGGAGAGGGATAGAGAGTTAGAAACATCAATGAGAGAGAAGCATCGATCAGCTGCCTCCTGCACACCCCCTACTGGGGATGTGCCTGCAACCAAGGTACATGCCCTTGACCGGAATTGAACCTGGGACCCTTCAGTCCCCAGGCCAACACTCTATTCAGTGAGCCAAACTGAATATAGGTTTTAAAGAAATTCTTCTTAAGTTGGTTTTGAAAATTTATTTTTTATAAATTTATTCACCTTATCTGAAGTTTTATACATTTGACATGAACTTGCTCATAGTATTGTCTTAAAAGTTGTAAAATCTCTCCTGCAATTATGACCCCTTCTTCATTCTCTCAGAGGGGAAGAAAGTCCTTAATACTGACCGAGGCTTGTGCCCTGTCACAGACCTAAAGTTTCTGTGATGTAGTAGAATACAAAAGTATTTAAATACTAGAGGCCCAGTGCACAAAATTCGTGCAGGGGCGGGTCCCTCAGCCCAGCCTTCACCCTCTCCAAATGGGGACCCCCTGTGGGATTGAGCCTAAACCGGCAGTCGGACATCCCTCTCACAATCTGGGACTGCTGGCTTCTAACTGCTCACCTGCCTGCCTGCCTGATTGCCCCTAACCACTCGGCCTGCCTGCCTGATTCCCCCTAACCACCTCTGCCTGCCTGCCTGATCACCCCTAATTGCTCCCCTGCTGGCCTGATTGCCTCCAACTGCTCTCCCCTGCTGGCCTGGTTGTCCCCAACTGCCCTCCCCTGCCGGCCTGATCTCACCCCCAACTACCCTCTCCTGCCTGCCTGATTTCACCCCTCCTGCTGGCCTGATCACCCCTAACTGCCTCTGCCTCGGCCCCCACCACCATGGCTTTGTTCGGAAGGAAGTTGGACATCCAGAAGATGTCCGGTTGACCCGGTCTAATTAGCATATTACCCTTTTATTAGTATAGATCAGGGATCCTCAAACTACGGCCCGCGGGCCACATGCAAATACAAATATTGTTTTTGTTCCCGTTTTGTTTTTTTACTTCAAAATAAGATATGTGCAGTGTGCATAGGAATTTGTTCATAGTTTTTTTTTAAACTATAGTCCGGCCCTCAAACGGTCTGAGGGACAGTGAACTGGCCCCCTGTTTAAAAAGTTTGAGGACCCCTGGTATAGATTATATAGGATAGGATTGCTTAAATTGTGTGTGTGGGGGGGGGGGGGGCGGGGGGAAGGAAGCCTTTTTCAGCAGGAGGAGATGCTCTTAGCAGACAAAAATACATAATCACTATATCTGGACTGATAGCCAGCCATATGCACTATACTGCCAAATCGGTTATTAAAAATTGAACCACTTTCTTACACCTTACACCAAACAGCTATTGCCCTTAAAACCCTTCCTCAGCCCCCACCTTAGGTTCTGCCTTTGCAGTTCACCCAGATTAGGTTCTGATTGGTCGGTTTCTATGCCAGTCAGTGTCAAAAGCTCCGTCTCTGGCAGCCATTGGCTCCTTGCAGTTCACCCAGATTTGGTTCTGATTGGTCAGTTTCTATACCAGTCAGCATCTCAGGGCCTGATCCACAGCTGCTGTGACAGCTGCAGATCAGGCCTTGCCTCTCTCTCTCTCCGGGCCTCGCCAGCAGCTGCAGCGGCTGCTGATCAGACCCTGCCTCTCTCTCTCTCGGGGCCTCACCAGCAGACACCCCAGCTGTGGATCAGGCCCTGCCTCTCTCTCTCTGGGCCTCTCTCTGGGCCTGATCTGCAGCTGCCATGGCAGTGGTGAGGTTGTTAGGCCTCGGGCCCAGCCCCTGGCCAGAGGCTAACGACCTCACTGTGCCCGCCTCGCCCTGCCCACCCCCTGCTGCCCTGCCCACCCACTGGCCGTCAGCCTTGCTGATAAGAACCTATGGGCCATGGGGGAGGGACCTAGAGGTGTTCCATGTACTTCCTGGTGACTGGTTGTCCGTCTGGTCGTTTAGGTCATGATGGCCCCTGGCCTTATATAATGTAGATGGCCTGTCACCTTTACTGTGAAATAGGGTTGTGGTTCTTTATTATAAATGTAAATTCATGTTCATTATTTTAATTAGAATATATATAAAAGTTTAAATAAGAAAATTTAAAACAATTATATCACTATATCACTCTTCCTATTTTGGTATATGCCTAATTTTTGCCTGTCTATATATATCACAGCTACAAACACATTTTTATTGTTATACATTTTTATTTTTTAACTGCACCTTTTAAATTACAATATAAACATAAAAGATTTATAAAACATTTTTCAGAAAAAATGGCATTTTTCTAGGTGGTGTACCTAAAATATCCTTCCCTTGAGTTGCACATACTGTAACTCAAAATTACAAATTTTCAAAAAGTAAGTTTGGAGTAATATTGTGTATACTATTTCCCCCACTTAATATTTATAAGCAGTTGCCCATATCATTAAATATTTGAAAGCATGTTTCTTACTGGCTATATAATATTCCTTTGTGTCCCATGTACCATGAAATGTTTTTATCAGTACCCTGTTGTTGAACATTGGCTTTGTGTGATAAATCTCTGTGTGTATCTCTGATGATTACTTATGATACATTTAAAAAATTTTTTTTATTGATTTATAGAGAGAGGGGAAGGAAGAGGGAGAGAGAAACATCAATCGGTTGCCTCCCACATGCACCCTGAACAGGGACCAAACACACAACCTGGGCATGTGCCCTTACCGGGAATCAAACTGGCAACCCTTTGGTGCATGGGATGACACTCTGCCAACCGCCACACGGCCAGGGCCTTATGCTAAATTCTTACAAGTGCGTTTAATGGGCCAGATTTTCAAGGACGATTAATTAGCATCTGTTCTTCTCTTTGCAGCAGCCCACTCACCCCGTGTACAACATTGGACCAGACAAGGTGATCCAGGCCACCATGCACTTTCTGCAGAAGCCGGTCCCAGGCTTTGAGGAGCGTGAGGATGAGACCACAGCAGAGCCTTCCACCGACTAGAGGACACAGTCCCGAGTCTCCGTGTTCACCGCAGTCAGTGCTCACCTGTGCAGACCAAGGTTTATACGTCTCGGTAATACTGCGTTCTGTGCTGCACAAGCCTTGGCCGCTCTGGAGCTGTGACTGCCCTTCTTTGTCAACCAGAACAAAACCAGTGGCTCTGGGTTTGGAGAACACAGTGGCATGGTTTAAAAAAAAAATTATTTTCACTCCGGACAAACCAAAAGTTTATATGCAGCATATAAACCAATTTGGGCCTGGCCAGGGTTGGTTGGGGAACAGTGCATGCTGGGAAGCAGCCCCTCCCTACCAGCTCTCCAGCCTGGACAGTCCTATTGAAATAAATGACGTCCATGAGTATTACAGCATCGACTGCTGCGGTTCCCACTTGCACGCCACCATGAAGTCGCCAGAAAGGTGCCCTCCCATGGGGGAATAAATCTGCTCCATGCCAAGGGAGGGGCTTTGGGTCCCACCAAAATGAATTTTCCAGAAAAACAAGCCCAAGGCTCTTCCCTCCCTCCCTGTCATTTGCAATGGAAAAGAGTGGGGTCCCTCCACACTGGAGAACTGAGCCACACCCCTCTGGAAGGCCACGCTTGGTGCTTGGTGCAAGGGCAGGATTTGCTTCAGCCCTGGTGTGGGAAACCAATTATGAGTGGAAAATGAACCTCCAATTCAACTCTGTGCCAGAGGAAGCAGCCCCGGGCCCATGCCCTCACTCCACCCCATCATGTACCACGAAAACCCTTCTGATGACCTCAAGGCAGCGCCTGCAGTCCATGGCCATTCTGCGCGTCTCCATCTCTTTTTCCACCAGAGCCCCAGCCCACCCTCCTCAAAGACAGTGTTGTCTTCTCTCATCCAGAGTATTAACACTACTAAGTCTTTCACCTTAATTTCTGACTCAGGATTTCTTCACATCCTGCCCACTCCAGGCTCAGAGAAATAAAATCAAGTGCTGGACAAGCTGACTGCTGCTGAGGCAGTCGCCGCGTAAACCTGGTGTGTTCAGCCCCTGTTGCTCACACGGAACCTTTTCTTGGTCAGTGGGGCGTCGAGTTGGGTCATCTGTCCAGTGCTGCGGTCACAGCAAGCTCCAGGTCGCTGTGGGCGTTCCTGTAGGCAGCCACGGGCGGTGGGCAGATGAGGTTCTTCTAAAAAAACTGACCATTTGCTGCCTCTGATTCCCTATTGCTTTGGCATATTGGACTATGTATTACCTCCTGGAAGTAATAAAAGAATAACATTTTCTCTGCTGTCTCTCATTTGTGACTGGTACCAGGGAAATGCCTTCAGGATGCCGTGTTAGAAGGCTGCTCTCGAGCATGTCTCCCCGTGAGGGAGATTCCACACCACGTGCGTTAGTGATCGCAAACAGGTCGGACGTGGGTTCCGCCCGCGTGTGCCTTCTCCAGTGGAGGACGCAGGGCCTAACCAGGAGTGGGGAAAGCTGTTTCCCAGGTTCCCTGGAGCAGTGCGGTTCGCCCAGACTCTGCACACTGCGTTTCATGGTCTGTCTGGGTGTCCGTCTCCTTGACCTGACTCTAAGCAGGGACTGTGCTCCTGAGTCCGAAAGCGGGGAATGACCAGAAGGGGGAGCTCTCAGGCCCTACGTGGTGCACAAAGTGCAAGGGGGAAACTAAGAGCCCGTCCCAACTTCCTTCCCCTTCATAAAAGAGCTTTCTCTGTGTGTTAGCCAACTTGACTTGCAGGTGGCTCACTGTGGTCGCATGCACAGGATTGCAATTCCTTGCTGTTTCCCAATAAACCCATTTTGCTGAAGAAATACCTGGCTGACTGTTTACAGTCAGAGCCCCAAGGTATCCTGAGATTAATTGCAGTAATAATTGGAGTGGTGAAGACAAAAGGGACTGCTCAGTCTGAGCTGGCTTTATACCGAAGAGCGAGGATTTGAGCTGGATCCCAAGAGGTAGGTAAAGTTTGGCCAAGTACAGAAGAGCGGGTCATTTACTAGTATTCTTATCTCAGAATAAGCATCTTACTGGCCTACCCATAAGACTCCCTTTCTGCTCCCAGTTGAGTCTGGAGGGTTTCCTGACTTGAACAGCATTCAAAATGGGTCCTTGAGGTTCAATTCTCAGATTTATCATGTGGATCCTTAAGTAGAAGGCACTTGCATAGCACTCAAGGTAGGTTACCCCAAAGAAATATTCCCCCATCAATAAAGAAATATAAAACCATTACAGATCTCTATATCCTGATGAGCCTCACTTCCCCCTTGGATCCATCTCAGAACCACGTTAAGTGCTGTGTAAGTTGGGAAGCCTGTCAGATCCTACTGGGAGCAGAAGGGGAGCCTCATGGATAAGCCAGTGCAAACTGCCCTGAGATAACAATACAGGACCAATCAGCAGTATCCCTATACTGCTCTCTCTCTCTCTCTCTCTCTCTCTCTCTCTCTCTCTCTCTTTCCATGTCCTTATTGATTTTAGAGAGAGAAAAGGAGAGGGGTAGAGAGATAGACACATCAATGAGAGAGAAACTTCGTTCACCTGCCTCCTCTATGCACTTTACTGGGGATAGAGCCTGCAACCCAGGCATGTGCCCTGACTGGGAATAGAACTGGTGACCTCTTGGTTCATAGGTTGATGCTCAACCACTGAGCCACGCCGGCCAGGCTCACCAGTGGCTTTAGTATCCCAACTCAGAGGGAAGGGTAAAGGCCTGGGGTGGGAAACGGATGTTCTTATGCCTGTAGGCTTCTGAGGCATTGTGACCAGGACTAGTAAGATCCAGGCATTGCATAAACCAAATCTTAAAGACATAGAACATCTCTCATTCGCTGTCTGGGATAAGTTCAATTCTATGAAAGTTCGCTTTCCTAATGCTGATAATCAAACCTGATGTTAATGGGATACAATGGTCTATGTTGGAGGACCGCTCAGTGTTGCTTCCATTTGGGGACACAGGTATTCATTTGGGGAGAAGTAATTTGCTAATATTTTATTCTCTTGCCATCTATATCAGGGGACAACACACTTCCTCGGTAAAAGGTCAAATACTAAATATTTTAGGCTTTGCAAGCAACTACTAAACTCTGCCATTGTAGTACAAAACAGCCATGAACAAAGTGTGGCTGTTTCCAATAAAACTTTATGAAGACAGGTGGTGGGCCAGATTTGGCCTGTGGGCTGTAGTTTGCCTACCCCTGACATAGACTAAATCTCATCCAGTCATTCGGCATTCTTCCACTTCCTTCATGGCTGGGATGCTTTCCATGTAATATTAGTGTCAAATGCCAAACGGTGCGGTTTGGACAAACGTTTTAGCCACCCACACGCGCTGCTCATTGCCTCTGAACAGGAAGGAGAACCGTATGACTTAAGACACTGTTGCAACTTGGAAAACTTGACCCAAACTGGCTTAAAGCAAAGAGGAAATGTGTTGGTCATAAACTGAAATGTCCAGGAACTAGCTTGGCTGTGTGAGTGACTTCCGTAGGCCTCTTCCCCTCTCTCCATCTCTCTACATTAGCTCCAACCGCAGGCTCTTTCCATGTGGTTGTAAAATGGCAACAGCAATAGCTCCAGTCCTTATCCTCTCAGGGTCAAGTTCAGCAGACAAGAGCAGCAGGCAACAGTCCCAGCCTTCCTTCCCAGTGCGAATCCTTGTGTTTCACTGGCTTTGATCAAACCAAGTGCCAGAGAAGCAATCCAGTGGCCAGATTACAGGGCACTGATAGGCCTAAGTCCTAATCGCGGGCTTCTTCCATGAGTGGGAAATGGAGTTCCAACGGAAGCACATGGACTAAGAATAGGAAAGGAATGAAGCCCAAAACGTAAGTTAGGATTGTAGCCAAAAGGGGGAAACGGATGCTAGGGAGGCTAATTACCATTGTTTACTATGGTGAATTCTTACTGTGATAGAAACGTGTAGTGGACATTGTTGGCATCGTTTCCCGTTTCCTAACTGTGGCAGACAAAAAGCTTGCATGGATTTGACCCCCTCCTACCTCCAGGTCCAAGCCCTGACTAGCCTAAGCCAATCATTTCAGTCCGCCTCTCTGCTTCCGTAATTTGTTAAGGTTTGGTAATAACCCAGGTCTAAGCAATCAACATGGCTCGTCCTAGCTGTGCTGATTGATTTAGAGCCAAGCATTTGGCCTGAAATAGACCAAAGAGAGAAGCCCTAGACATGTTATGATTAAAAAAAACCAACAAAAAACAAACAAACAGCTATCCCTATTAGGGATGGTGGAATGTGTGGCCTGGGACTCCTACAGAACCATTTTCCTACCTACAAGGAAGCCAGCCGTAGAAGCTAGTACATAAGATTCCCTGGGAGACTGAGCAGCACGACCAGAACCCTGATCCCACTGCTCCTGCGGCCAGCTCTGCCTCCGGATGTTTCAACTATTAGCCAACTGGAGTTGGATTTACTATTACTGTACTTGCCACCAAAACATCCTAAGTCATACAAAACTCCATCCCAGATTAGCCCCAGGGCCACGCACGTCCTTACTTGGTGACTTAAGAACACTGACCACCCTGGCCACACCCACCCAAACAACATCCCTCAGAGAATGCTTCCTGGTCTATTAACTCCACATTTGATCCTTGACTCAACCTCATGAGGTGGGTGAGGCAGGTGTATTATCTGCATTTTACAACCAGAGAAACAGGTCAGAGAGCTAAGTGAATCACCCAAGGCTTCCTAGGTATCAAGTGGTGGAGTCTGAACCTGAACCCAGATCTGCTGCCTCCAGGGCCATGCCCTTCCACAACCCCAGGTCTCTAAAGAAGATAGCATGGGTGGTCTGGGGGGGGGGGCGGGGGTGCCTCCAGGGCTGGGTGGCTGAGACCTCGAATGCCTGCCCCATCTTTTACCTGGATGAGGATGGTGACAACAAACTGCAGGGGCAGGCTCACTTCACCCTTTTAACCCCTCTCCCGCTCTCCGCCTAAGCCCCTGGCACTAACTGCGTGCCACTGCACGGCAGAGCGTGACCCTGCATGACTCACAGCGAGGCCGTGGTGAATCAGTCTTTCTGGGAGCTGACCGCAGCCCCAGTGGCAGCCAGCCTTCTCCAGCCTGGCCGGCACGCCTGGCCATTTCCTGGACATCCCCTTTCATTTCCCTGCAATAACCACCTCACCGCTGTTTCCCACCAGCTGGTGCAGGAGGCCCAGGGCACGGGGCCTGGCCGCTGATGTTCTGCCCTCCTAGTTCTCGGGCACCTGCAAGAACAAACCAGGCAGGTGGGGACGGAGCGCTCTTCACCAACCCACTGAACAAAACTTTCCCTGTCCTCTGCTCCCCCCCTCGCCCCCCCACTCCCCCACGGAAACACAGCTCTTACAGAATAACAAGAACAAGAATGCGTTTTTTAAAATAAACATTTGTCGATCTATACCCCTTAGACTGTTTCCTCTATTGTTATCACCTTACTGAATATGGTGTATTTCTCACAACTAATGAACCAATACTGATACAGTTTTATAAACTGGAGTCCATACTTCATGCAGATTCCTCAGTGTTTACCCAATGCCCTTTCTCTGTCCCGGGATCCCATCCAGGATAGCTCATTACATTTAGTCACGTCGCCTTAGGAAGCTTTTGGCTGAGACAATTCCTCAGACTTTTCTTGTTTGGGGTGACCTTGACGGTTTTGAGGAGCACTGGTCAGGTATTTTGTGGAATGTCCCCAATTGGAATTTGTGTGAAGCTTTTCTCATGATTAGTCTGGGGCTCTGGGTTTGGGGAGAAGACCTCAGAGGTAAGTGCCCTCTCATCACATCCTATCAAGGGTACATGCTGGTGAGCGTGGCTCCCCACTGATACTGTTAACCTTAACCTCCTGGCTGAGCTGGTGCTTGTCAGGCTCCTCCTTAAGGCTCCTCTTTCTTCCCTTTCCCAGATGCATCCTTTAGAAGGAGGCCCTGGTGCACCACCCACACTTCGGGAATGGGGCGTTATGCCCTCCACGTCCTTGACGGTGGAGTACCTAGATAAATTATTTGGAATTCAGTATGGGAGGCTTATCTATTCTCTATTTATTTTTTTCAATCATTTATTTATATTAGTATGGACTCATGAATATTTATTTTATACGTTGGGTTATGTTCCAATACTCTTGTTTTTTTGCTGCTCCAATTGTCCTAGCGTTGGCCATTAGGAGCTCTTTTAGTTAGCTTCTGTGTCCCTCTGACATACCCACACTTTCTTAATAATAATAATAATGCATTTTAAAATCCATTTTTCTTTCAAGAAGTATTGCATGTTGATAGTCA